GCCAATGGGCCCGTCTCCGAACCGTTCCGAGACCGTTCCGAGACCGTTCCGAGACCGCCGCCGTACAGGCGTCGCAGCCGAGGTGGTTTGCGCACAGTCCGGAAGCCCAATTCACGCACAGCGCCAACGTTTTCTGCATCTTGCCATCCCCCAGCTCGCAGAGAGTGCTTGCGAAAGTGCTGCGCCTGCCACGAAATCTATACTTGAGAAAGCTATCTACGTGTTAAGCTGGCTATATGTCAAAGCTATCTATCTGTCATGCAAGCCTATTGGAAAGCTATCTATCTGTCAAGCTAGCTATATGTCAAAGCTATCTATTTGTCATGTCAAAGCTATCTATTTGTCATGCAAGCCTATTGGAAAGCTATCTATCTGTCAAGCTAGCTATATGTCAAAGCTATCTATTTGTCATGCAAGCCTATTGGAAAGCTATCTATCTGTCAAGCTAGCTATATGTCAAAGCTATCTATTTGTCATGCTAGCTACCTGTCATAGCTATATGTCAAAGCAGCTAGCTCATTTAGTTCCAGTACTACGGAAGTTTCTTGTTAAACTTCCTTTGACGATGTACCCTCACATATATTCATAGATAGATAAGCATCTCGTGCAAGTGGAGTAGAGGCTGTATACCCCGCTCGCCAGACAAAAGTTGTGCTTCTTGAAGGCTCAGCCAATAGCCGCCCTTTGGCGGTCAGAGCGGCTGCAACCCTTCCCCTCTAGATTCCTTCAGCAAAAGACCTACGGGGGTGCGGGCGGTCAGTCTTGGACCCAGGAAGCCTTTGATTATTATGAATTCAAAAGAGCGCGACAGTTGACGATTCCACGCCTGCCACACAAAACACGCTTGTTCAGTCTTTCAAAGCAGCCAAGAAGCAACAGTTTTTGTCTGACTGAAGTGCGGATGACTTTGGGGCAAACTGGATACGCTGCAACTCTGTAAGCCGTGCTTGGGGCAATGGAACACCACTATGACACCGGCAATATCATGCAGGTGAAATTATGAGATTCATAACAAGCTTCCCCGCTCTAAAGGGCAGGGACACTGGTGGTTTCCTGTCCTGTCAAGGCTCGGGGTACGTGATTTTGATCCCAAGTAAAGTCGGGTTGGTAAAAGGGGCCAACAGGACAGAATGCGTCCTGTAGAGGGTTTGAGATCAAAAAACGCTCCCTTGGGCGTTTAGCGATTTTCAAAACACACTCAAGGGACATATATCTTGCTTGGAAATGCTCAGAGCGGGGTACAGCCTATAAGCAACTGACTTTGGTTTGCCGGGTCCGGCTATCGTTAGCGTGGGTGCTTTGATTTGTGCTTCGATGCGCCACACATTCTTGGTAGGTTGCAGGACTTGTTGCCAGGCAACCTTGTGTTGGTGGCTGTTCCACTCCTTCATGTGACCCCGGCAAATCAACAGCCACCAGCAGCCACGTGTTTGCCTGGGATTTCTGAACTGGAACGAGCTCTTTGTCTAAATTCTGTTCGGCATGGTTGTCCAAGAAGGGAACTTTGCATGGGCCGCGTGAGTTAAGCCTTTCTTTGATGTCGATAATTCTGAAATGCAGAGGCTGAAATTATGGCTCAAGCTGGCCTGCTCAGGCGGACCCATTGAGAATCATTATAAGGTGTAATTTCATTTTTTGGTAGACCGATTTATTTCCTCTTTGCATCATTGGATTCCCCACCAAAATTAATGTATCCATGGAAGTCGCCTTCCACTTCATATCTCACCCTTTGAATAGTGGGATACGTATCACTATGAAGCAAGCAACGTCCGTTGTTGCGCGCCCTCCACCCAACAGAAGTCTTCTCCAACAGGTCTTGACAACCGCTCCGGTCAGCTTCTCAACTTGTCGATCCTCCCCTCCCCAACAACATGTTTCTTTGGGAGACATGTTTGTCCACCCCGGGTTCTTTGGAAGATGCGGCATTCGTCATTCCAAGCATTGCTTTGCCTGTGCCCTGACTCTCTTGTGATTTGTGGTCAACCCGCATTTTTCCATATTTTGTTCATGTTCCTCAATGATTTATCTTTCTTGATGTTCCTCCTCATTTGCGTGTGGCTCAAAAAAAGGGACCAAAATGGAACCCTGACAACTGGGAAAGTAGGCTAAACCTGTGGTTTTCTCCCAAATTTTGAGCTACTACACCCATTTGAGTGCGGAAACCATCCACCACAGGGGGAGCAGAAAGCAACCAACCGAGTTTAAATGGGGGCGTTTTCGTCTTTGGGAGGCCCCAAGGACCCGTATTTCCACCGGCTCGTTCCTTCCGCTCGGGTTCGGTCTGAGGTCGGGCCACGCCCTGGGCGCCGCTGGCGTGCACGAGGCCATCTACTCCCTGCTGATGATGGACCGGGGCTTCCTGGCGGAGTCCATCAACATCGAGGACCTGGCGCCTTGTCAGGGAAACCAACCAACAGGGATACAGGGGAAACCAGGGATAATGTTCGTTTGTCCAAGCCTTGAACCTACGACTTGGCTTTAGGGAGATGGGTGGCGTAGCCGTGAAACAAGTTGAATGAACCCGGAATTGATCCATTTGAACGACTTGGCTTGAGAGAGATGGGTGGCGATAGCCATGAGATATGGTTGATGAGCCCGGGTTTTTTGAACCCTTGAACGGTTTTGGCTTTAGAGAGCTGGTGCCAGAAGCAGGGAATGAACCCGGGTTTTTTGAGCCATCCTTTACTTGGAAAGATGGGTGGACTTGGCTGTAGAGAGCTGGTGACATAGCCATGAGACATTGTTGATGAGCTTTAGAGGGCTGGTGCCATTGCCATGAGACATGGTCGATGAACCCGGAATACTTAGCCATCTAGCTGGTGGTTTCGCCTTGAACGACTTTGCTTTAGGGAGATGGTGCCATAGGCATGAGACATGGTTGATGAGCTTTTGAGAGCTGGTGCCATAAGCAGGGAATGAGAGGTGGTGGATGAGCCCAGAATATTATTTTGAACCATCCAACTGGTGGTTTTACTTTGGCGATAGGCATGAGAAATGGGTGATGAACCCGGAATATTTAGCCATCTAACTGGTGGTTTTGCTTGGAACGCTGGGTGGCGATAGCAGGAGAAATGGAATGACTCCCCGGAAATAAAGTCAGTTCAACTGGTGGTGTCCTTTTTCGGGGATCCCCAAACGGCTCATTCCCAACACCCGGAAGGTCATTCATTCGCGACTGAGCACCAGCAAGACTTGAAAGATGCAGGGGGAAAGTAGATGAGGTTTTCCGTAAAGACGAGATGCCATGCCAGAGTGGAGAAGGCCGACCGTGGATCCAAGGCGCGTCTCAGAAGAAAAAACGCATTCGGACTAGGAGGCATGGCCAGCAAAGCACAGAGCCTTCACGGAATTCGCCTCACACCGATCACAATCGAAGATGTCTAAGGTCTAGATTTGTCTTGCTGGTGCTCAGGGAGTGAGGGAATGAACCTAGGGTGTCGCCTTAAAGGAAACCACCAGCTGGATGGTTTGTAGGGTTCATTCCAGTTCTCATTCCTGGCCCACACACCGAGGTGGACGAAGCAGAAGGCATGAAGATCCTGACAGAGCGGCACGAGGGGGAAGTGCTGCGCTGTGCTTCGAACTCCTTTGGCTTTGGCGGTACCAATGCTTGCCTGGTCTTTGACAAGTACCAGGAGTGAAGACGATGGCATCCTTCCGACAACAGCCGATGTAATCGGCCTCAGCAACTGGTAAACGTTAGCTTCTTGTGTTTCTTTGTGATTCGGTTTGTGTGGGATCAAGTCACGCATCTCATCGACGCGTTTTGAAGAGTGAACTCATCGGATGTTTTCCCCTTTTGACACGGAAATTGCCGTGGACACTGAATTTGAAGTCTGGCTGTTCTAGCCGCACTTTACTTGGCTCAGCGATAGCTCTGGCGCCCGCCTGAGCCGTCCATGAATCCGAGAAGCCACTCATAGAAGTCCCACTCGACAGTTTTTTTTTCCGGGCCAGGATGGCCACAGGGAAGATTCCTCAGTGCCCCCAAAAGTACGAGCAGCTGCACCAGGGTCACCAGATATCAATCACTCAGTCTCCGAAATTTGCCACCTGGAGCGCTGCTGGGGCAACCCTAGCAGAGGTCGTAATTCGTATCTTTTTCCTTAAGGCACAACTGCGCGATGAAAGAAGCGCCTGAGACCGCAGTCCAGTCCAGGTTGAGCGATCTCTATTCACTGGCTAAGAGAAGAACTGCCTGCTGAGACCCACTTGTTGATGCACTACAGCCTTTGCAAGTACTCTTCAGTATGATGTCCATGTTTCATTTGGCTTATTCTCACTTGCCCAAAGCCGACCTTTTGACCTTATGGTCTTCCCGTTTTGGTCCAATTCGCTAAAGGGCCCACAAGGTGAACCTTCTATCTGCGGGTCCTTTGGGCAAGTGAGCCGCAATCAAAACCCGGGTAGATGAAGATGAGTAAGGGACAATCCCAACTCCAACCATAAATAGCTGAGGCCGCCTTCTTGATTCTTGAAGCATGGTTCTGGGTAGACCATTTTAATGCCGAGTTTTGATTGTGACTCAAATGCGTATTTGCTTGAGCATCTTGGCAATGGGTCAACCCCTCGGTCAACCCTTCCAAAGTCCAAGTCCGTGGCCAACCCGGGACAGAACTGGTCCACGAGGGGTGCATTGCTCGAGCCCGTGAGATGTGTTTTGGGGCTGTGGCTTGGCTGGACCTTGAAAGCATGGATCCTTGGGAACAGGACAGTCTGTTTTGACCTCGACAAGTATCCTCCCTGCCCAGACAGCTTCCTTGCATCCACAGAATCCAGCCAGCACCAGAGGCGCAACAACCCATATTCCGCTCGGGCGTTTGTGATGCAACGATGACAGCATCGTTTGCCATTTGGATGTGTCAAGCCTGGTTGGGCCTCTCCAGGGCTCGGTTTCCTTGGAACACCATGAGCTATGCGGCTCCAAGTGCTCACACCCTGCGACGCGTCATTTGCCAAGCGGCCAAGCACCCGCCTCTTTCTTTTTCTTTTTTTCCGAGGCTGGGGGGCTGTCTTCCTGGGCCTGGCGGCTGTCTTCTCATCCCCGGTGGCTGCTGAAATATTCGGCAGGGCTCCCAGGTGTCATGGCAGACGCGTGCAGACGCGGTTGCTTTTGGCAATGCGCCAAGAGTAAGAAGCCCTCCACACAGTTTCATGTGAGTCCTATAAAACGTGCATTGTGAAAGAGAGTCCCTAGTTGTTTTTGGCACGCATTAGCTTTTCGGGGAACGACCCTGCCACGGGCAGTAGAGCAGTGAGGAATGGGATGCCACATCATGGTATCATGGCAGTCGCTGTTTGGCAAGGAAGCAATAAACAGCTTCAATATGTGATTCAACGTCCCAATGGGCAAATACCGTCCTCACGACAGCAGGTTGGCCTGATCCGCAGCCTTGGTGACAATCTCTTCATATGTAGAGCACATCATTTCACCAGAGTTCGTTTGCTTGGCGATTCTTTGCGATCGTATTGCTTGCCTTGTCGCACTCTTCAGTATTGAATACAAATGCCGAGGTACTTCTTGCAGATTATAGGCTTTAGCTTGCAGCTCCACGTAGCAACATGGGGTATTCACCGCCGTCGGGCCACGCGCATGTCGCTTGCAGGAAGCAGGGGATTCTGTTTCAGAGATCGATGCGGCATTCTCCTTTCTAAGGTGTTTTGGCATTGTTGCAGCGAACGTCGAACTCGTGGTAGGTTGTTGCTTGTGGAGGTGAGAGACCGACTCCCGCATTCTGGTGTAGGATGCCTAGAATTCAGTTGTGGGAATTTTGAATCAATCAAGGCCGATCATTTTGGGGTGAATGCCCCTCACAACTTTTGTCAGGCTTGGAGCTTTTTTGTCAGTCACTGACCCGGGATTAGAAGTAATCACGCAGCATCTCCCCGCATCTCGCCCCGTGTTGCTGATCTCAGTTGATAGATCCCTTTTAGCTCCGCCCAAAATGATAGACCATGCTTCTTTGCCAGGTTTGGTCCCAACAGGTTCCTTGTGGGAAGGACGCATTGGCAAGATTCCGTGTGCAAAGACGTGCATCTGCAGCAAAGAGTAAAGAGGCAACGCCGCTCTGAGGCGGTTTCAGCATCACAGGCCTCAGCGGGGCGTTGGCTTCGGTGAAGAAAGGCGTCGTCGACTTGTTGGTGGAGGCGGGTGCTTGCGCGGGGCATGTTTTGTGCGGGTCAAAAGCTATGGTGGCACCTGACAGCATTGCTGCTGTCTTGGATATATTGATTTGATTGGTTTGTTGTTTGGTTTGTTGATTGGTTGGTTTGAATTGGATTGGTGTGTTTGTTTGTTTGTCTGTCTGTTTGTTTTGTGTTGTGCAGTTTTGTTGTGTTCGTTTGCTTTGTTTTGGTTTCGTTGGCGGCTCGGATCTACCGAGGCGTTGTCCCTGAGCAATGCTACTGCGAGCCGCCCTGAAGGCTCTCTCGCAAAGTCCAACCGGGGACCTGAGTTCGACACAACGAAACGCCTCTGGACGAGAGTCAGCGCTCAGGAAACAGCGATGCTTCGCAGAAAAGGGTCACCCGAGGAACCCAACGCGTGTGTCCCGAGGAACTTGCTCGTATGTTCAGTGATTTCCTCGCCGCACTCTTGACTTATGGCGCAGAAGCAACCAACCAGCCAGCCAGCCTAGCCTAACCTAATCTCACCCAGACCGACCAACCAACCAACCAACCAAACCCAGCAAGCCAAAGTAAACGAAACCACACCAAACCAAACAATCCCAAACCCAAACCCAAACCCAAACAGCCAACCAACCAAACCTGACCAACAAGCAAGCAAGCCAGCCAGCCAGCAGGCAGGCAGCAGGCAGGCAGGCAGGCAGGCAGGCAAACAAACCAACACACAGACAACACACAAACAAACACTCAGTCAAACAAACAAACAAACAAACAAACAAACAAACAAACACACGAACGAACAAACGGACGAATGAAACGCTAACGAACAAAACAAACAATCAATCAATCAATCAATCAATCAATCAATCAATCAATCAATCAAACAAGCGAACTCACAAACAAACAAAGCCAAACCAAGCCAAGTCAAACCCAACCGACCCACCCGCCAACCAACCAACCAACCAACAAACAAGCAAACAAACAAGCAAACAGACAAGCAAACAAACAAGCAAGCAAACACAATCAAACAAACACACACACACACACACACACACACACACACACACACACACACACACACACACACACACACACACACACACACACACACACACACACACACACACACACACACACACACACACACACACACACACACACACACACACACACACACACACACACACACACACACACACACACACACACACACACACACACACACACACACACACACACACACACACACACACACACACAACACACACACACACACACACACAACAGACACGCAAGACACACAAGACACGCAGACACGCAGACACGCAGACACGCAGACACGCAGACACGCAGACACGCAGACACGCAGACACGCAGACACGACACGCAGACACGCACACACAGACACACAGACACACAGACACACAGACACACAGACACACAGACACACAGACACACAGACACACAGACACACAGACACACAGACACACAGACACACAGACACACAGACACACAGACACACAGACACACAGACACACAGACACACAGACACACAGACACACAGACACACAGACACACAGACACACAGACACACAGACACACAGACACACAGACACACAGACACACAGACACACAGACACACAGACACACAGACACACAGACACACAGACACACAGACACAGACACACAGACACACACACAGACACACAGACACACAGACACACAGACACACAGACACACAGACACACAGACACACAGACACACAGACACACAGACACACAGACACACAGACACACAGACACACAGACACACAGACACACAGACACACAGACACACAGACACACAGACACACAGACACACAGACACACAGACACACAGACACACAGACACACAGACACACAGACACACAGACACACAGACACACAGACACACAGACACACAGACACACAGACACACAGACACGCAGACACGCAGACACGCAGACACGCAGACACGCAGACACGCAGACACGCAGACACGCAGACACGCAGACACGCAGACACGCAGACACGCAGACACGCACGCAGACACGCAGACACGCAGACACGCACGCAGACACGCAGACACGCAGACACGCAGACACGCAGACACGCAGACACGCAGACACGCAGACACGCAGACACGCAGACACGCAGACACGCAGACACGCAGACACGCAGACACGCAGACACGCAGACACGCAGACACGCAGACACGCAGACACGCAGACACGCAGACACGCAGACACGACACGCAGACACGCAGACACGCAGACACGCAGACACGCAGACACGCAGACACGCAGACACGCAGACACGCAGACACGCAGACACGCAGACACGCAGACACGCAGACACGCAGACACGCAGACACGCAGACACGCAGACACGCAGACACGCAGACGCAGACACGCAGACACGCAGACACGCAGACACGCAGACACGCAGACACGCAGACACGCAGACACGCAGACACGCAGACACGCAGACACGCAGACACGCAGACACGCAGACACGCAGACACGCAGACACGCAGACACGCAGACACGACACGCAGACACGCAGACACGCAGACACGCAGACACGCAGACACGCAGACACGCAGACACGCAGACACGCAGACACGCAGACACGCAGACACGCAGACACGCAGACACGCAGACACGACACGCAGACACGCAGACACGCAGACACGCAGACACGCAGACACGCAGACACGCAGACACGCAGACACGCAGACACGCAGACACGCAGACACGCAGACACGCAGACACGCAGACACGCAGACACGCAGACACGCAGACACGCAGACACGCAGACACGCAGACACGCAGACACGCAGACAGACACACAGACACACAGACACACAGACACACAGACACACAGACACACAGACACACAGACACACAGACACACAGACACACAGACACACAGACACACAGACACACAGACACACAGACACACAGACACACAGACACACAGACACACAGACACACAGACACACAGACACACAGACACACAGACACACAGACACACAGACACACAGACACACAGACACACAGACACACAGACACACACACACACACACACCCACACCCACACCCACACCCACACCCACACCCACACCCACACCCACACCCACACCCACACCCACACCCACACACACACACACACACACAAACACACACAAACACACACAAACACACACAAACACAGACAAACACACACACAAACACACACAAACACACACAAACACACACAAACACACACAAACACACACAAACACACACAAACACACCAAAACAAAACAAATGTTCTTGCGATAGCAAGTGTCAACAGACTCTGGACGAAAACGATTGACCCCTGAGATGCCTTCGTGCTCATCTCTGGCCAAAATGTCGCCACCACATTGTAAGATATTGTAAGGGCCCACTTACTCTGGACACACCGCCACTGTGAGGCACTTGGGTGGGCCCCCGCATCTTTTGAGGGCACCCCCTTTGTGTGTGTGTGTTTCTCTTTAGTGAAATCATTAAAGGACAGCCCAGCATGGGGGGTCCAGCCTCAATCAAGACACACCTCGGATCCAGCGACGTTCGCCAGGTCTTGAACCCCTCTTTGCAGCAGGCCTTGCCGCCGGCGCTGGTGAAGACCTTCGAGGAGGGTCACATTGCGGGCTAGCGCTCGCCTAATCAACGCACAGGTGGCTGGTGTTTTCGGCTTTTTCACCCTGGATCCTTTTGGTTTCCCGTTTTGAGCGCAAAAAAGGGTACCCTCAAAAAAAACGAGACCACATGTGAAGGAATGGCGTCCACCAAACTTACCAGATATTCTTCGATCAAGTGTCAAGTGTTCGCCCTCTCCAAGCAACATTAAATAAGGCTGGAGTGAAGACCGGGATGACAAGTTAGGACGATGTCCGGCTCGAGGTCTAGGAATTCTGGGCCGGTCCTGGAACTCTAAAATCTGAGCGCACAGCAACCTACCAGCAGGCCAACATGCCCGTTTCGCATCAACAATGCCCATATCAAGGTGCGGCCAAAGCAGCAAGGGAACAGGTATGACAGGGGTCACTAGTTTGACTGTTTCTGGTGGGTATCCGAAGATTCAATGGGGGTGTTGCCCTTTTGCCTGAATCATGGCAAAAGCAATTTGGGTCAGCATGATTAAGTGCTCTGGAGGACGAGCGAATGGCTCACAGCATCGTGGGCATGATGGCGTGGTAGCCTAGAGTCACAATCAGCTTCGCTTCTAAAGGTGGTATTGTGCTCTTGCTGGAGGGATTGGCAATGCCGTTGCCTCTCGCATAGCCTGCCCTTGTTTTGGTGTGCAAGGGCCCACATACCGCTGGAGACCAACATTTGGTGCTCCAACAGGCTTCCGGATGACACCGACTTCTGAGTGGCCTATGTCAATGCCTTTCCTGTTTTGTGAATGGCCTTGGGCCGCCCACAAGCACCTTTGTCCTTCCATTGTCCGAAACGTGACATCCTTCGTCTCGTGACTAGCTAGTCGCAGGCTAGTCGAGGTGTAGTATGGAGTGGGTTTGGCAATGGCGGAGTTTGCATTGCGCATTGATTACCCCGTTTTGCGGCATCTGCGAAGTAGGTTGGCCCATGGCGGCAATGCTACACGGAGGATGGGTATGCGTTTGGAGCAGCACAGATCTTTCCATTCACATGCACCTATTTGAGCCTTTAGCAATCCGCCACCGGGCTATGTGTCTTTGAGACCAGTAGCAGCTGCCCAAAGAGTCATCCAAACAATAGCACAGGTGCGAACAAGACAGATTCAAGCAGTTTCAATACCTGGGTCCTGTCCACCTCGAGTGGTTTCGAAATGGGTGGTTGGCTGGATTCGTGAATGTTCTGCTGGCACCGGCGCCATCATGTTGTGTTGGTGTTCTCGATGCCATGCATTATCATGATATCCTGTGATATGAAAAACATGTTACTACGCAAGCTTCATGAATGGCGTGGCCAGGAGGTGATACTGCCATACCAAGCATGAAGCTTCCCCACCGTCAATGCTGCGGATGCTGCAATTGTATGCAGTGAGTGAGGCCGTTTTATTGCAATGTTTGAGTCTGCTTTCAGAGTTCGCCAAGTGTCAACACAACATAGATCAATTCCTGAGGGAGAGCAGGATTTGCGAACTTTCATGCTTGGTCTCCGAACAACAGAGGCGACAGAAGGGGCAAATGGGCAACAGCCACTGCTGCCGGACTCCGCACTCGCGACCGAGGACAACATGATGTCTGACCCCAAGTTTCTGAAGGCGCCACTGGAGCAGCGTTCATGACAAATCACGCTTATTTACATGGTTACAAATTCTAATTGGGGACCTTTGGGTGGTCATCATTTAGGTGGGGATTCATGTCCACAAAAACACTTGTGAGCTGGTTCCCTGTTAAGAGTCATAGCCACACGAGAGCCTCCGTCTGTTTTTTTTCGCAGTGGCACCAGACGGAGACTGTCTTGCACGTGGCCACTCCTTGGGTGTGGTTCCCCACATTCCTCCCAACCCGCACACGCGAAGTCCTTTTCAGCAGGTGCTCAAGAACTTCATCAACACGTCCATGACCAACGAGGAAGATCAATGTTTGGTTTTGGGCATTCGGCAGACCCGTAATTCGCATTCGCTGCTTTGGGTTTTGGCTTTGGTTTTGTTTTTTGTAGTTGTTCGGTTTTTGGTGTTCCGCATTCGCTCCTTTTCTGCGGCTTATCGGCTTCTCGCTTGGCAAGCTAGAGTTATTCTTGAGACGTGCTCAGCCGATTTTGGCTTTGGGTCGTTCAGGAGTTGTTGGGGAGCTTGAAGAAGGTCATGCAGGAGGCAGGGGGGGAACATTTGCTGACCCGGCCATGGCTGTGGCTCAAAAAACCGGTACCAAAATGGGTTGCCCTGGTAAGTGGAAACATGGTTGCCAAAACCTGCGGTTTGCACCACCTGTTCAATTTTGAGCCACACCCTGGCGTTACCTGCTCATGAAATTCTCGGTCCTTGGCGGCCTGAGATGTGCTGCTCAGGCCCTGGCAGACAGCCACCTCTACAAGTCGGCCATGCATGGCGTGGAGCCCAGAGATGGTCCCGGGGGTAAGGATCAAGGAGCATTTGGGTGTGTCTTTTCTGGCGTGGGGGCCCCCTTTCTTGGTGGTTTTAAAGGAAACCGAATGGGACACCCACCATTTTGAAGGTCCCATAAAAAGCACACCCGTCCTTATCAATATTCAGATGGCCATAGTAGTTGGATCAGGGCGATAGGCTTCTTAGCATTCGTGATTCCTGCAGCTGTCAGGCAATCACGTTCCGGCTCCGGGCACACTGCAATCTCTCGCTGGGCCTTGAAAGCTGGGCCATGCACTAACCGCTTAGCACCTAGCGTTTCTGGACTCATCTTTCACCCAAGCCTTGTGCCCGAGGCATGGCGAACAGCCTCAACCCTTTGCACAGCGAGACGCTGGCCGGGGGGGACTGGGTCAGTTTGGCGTCAAGGATCACACGCTACGTTTCCACGTTTGGCAGGAATTCCTCTTGCATGCGGCGACATCAAGGCAACATGCATTTGCTTGGAAGGGGGTGAGATTTCTCCCCAGCGCTAATGGCACCACTTAGTTGGGAAGGGCATGATATGACGTCCTGAATTCCACCCTCCTTAAACCCTTTGCTATCAAAGCAACCCAATTCATGCATGTTTGCGAGCCCTTTTTTGTGCCTCGTCTGTGGGGGTGGACGATATCCAAGAAATGCAAGTGATTATGATTCCCAATATTTCCCTACCAATGCGACTTTTGGCTTGCCTGATTCTCAAGCGTGCAATTGGATTCGGCTTTCGGCTGCTCACATTTGTTTCCCGAAAAAATATATATATATATATATCGTATTTTCATCTACTTTGCGAGCTGGTTCCGGAGCCATGTTGAATTTGCGCAGGGCAGAATGCTGGGGCGCGCACCGTCACCGAACCCAGCTGAGAGATGAGGACGGTTGAGGCGAGGTGAGAGGTCGAAGCGAGGGCAGTCTGGAACGTGGCTCCCATGTGAGGGGGGCAGAGGATGTCCACCTCAATCGCTCGGACCGATTTTCTTGATTTTCAAGGCCAGAGAAAGAGGCATGTTCTGCTCTGCTATTTCAGCAAGCCTTTAAAGTCGGTGTGTTGCGAGTCTTTCTGCTCTCTTGTCAGGCCAAGAGATGCAAGACACCAGAAGGCAATTGGTGATCTGATGCAAAGCATCGCGTTGGATCGCTTGGTGAAGTACTTTTGATTAGGTGGCTTCTTTTGCAAACTTGTTTTTATGCGCTTCACGAGATGAGAATAGCAGACAGATGCAGACAGTATCCAACACGGGTGGTCACAAATGTTCAGATGTGTGTTTGAGCTGAAGATGCTCTTGGCACAAAGCACCACGGAGGGCAAAACATGTGGGCTTGAACCCGGCCAGCCCCAGAAGAATTTTACAAACAACGCATTCAGCTGACGCAGGTTGAAGGCCCCCCTTTCCCAAATTGTCAACATGTCGAATGTTCGGGATTTGATGTATTGGCTTGCAACCAAACCAGAGAAGTAGGAGTCCAATGCTTTCCCCACTCAAAGTATCGACTAGCATTGCCCCTAGCGAGAAGTGACTGCCGCCAAAGCAGTGTGGCAATTCGACAAGGCTTCGCTGTGGAAGGTCGACACGTGTCCTCTCTTCGATACTTATGCGGTATGTGTAGACTTGGGCTGTTGATCCTCACCATAGAATGCTCCACTCAGATTTGTGGAGCACCCAGGGACATCTTAGAGGAGCCCTCCAGGATTCCGGGAGTCAACGCAACTTGGCCAGTGGATGTGCCATTGCCCATCCCCCGCCGAACAAAACGGCTGAGTTTAGTCCGTGCGCTCTGGCGAGATCAGAGCTGCGCAAGCTCGGAGGCCTTTTTCACCCGCGGCTGCCGTGCTACACATCGTTTAGGGAGCGCGTAGAGCGCAGAAAAAAGCGGCAGCCTCGCCGTTGTTTTTAAAGAAAGATGGTGTCAAGTTAGGCTGTATGTCCGCCCTCGGGCGATGAGGGGAGCACGTTGTTTTGTATCGAGTCATTTCCATATTGTTTATTCACGGTCAAAGGTTTCGGAAATAGCACAGTGACTGCGTTGGCAGGGGATCGGGGCATCAGAGCTCGAGGCGTATGATGTTCTGTGCGATTCAGCTTTTGAGGCCGAGCGAGAACACCAACATGTTTGGCACGTACTATTTCCTGTGTGCGCAGTTGTCATGCCTTGAGCCCGGACCCTAAAGTCCCGAAAGGGTGAAGTGATCAAACTCTGACAGCGTGGTCCGCCAGCCAGGCATGCTTTTGCGCCTTTGATGCAGAATCTTCCTACCAATTCCTAGCACATGTCATGCCCGGCGCCCCAGACTGTCGGCTGCTGCTTTGAAGGCCACAAACGGACTGGGTCAACGATGGCGATGCAGCTGCATTGTCGTCATGAGTGTCGTGGTAGGGTGTCATTTGCATTGAAAGCAGCCGATCAGGAGTTTGTCACATAATGTTTTTACAGTTCGAGAGGTTTAGTCAAATGGCAGCATTTACGGGTGATGGCTGTCACTGTCACGAGACATTTGGCGCACTGTCTGATGGCTTACGAGTCTCAGTCTTGGGATCAAGCGGATACATCTCATTTTGTGGGCCTTGACATGTTCATCATCTTGGAGAAGGCGTCCCTGAAAACGCCCATGTCCCATAGTTGGCCTCCCCGCCTGTTCAGTGCGGTGAGTCTGAGTCCTGCCATGAGCCCAGGCGTGAGTCGAGGCGCCGGAGGGGACGGACTGTGCCTCTGTGAAGTGGATGGCAAGTGTGTCATGCCTCGACGCGTTTGAATGTGGTAGCTATTGGTTGAGCGGAAGGTGTGGCAAGTTGACTGGTCTGCTTTGCCGCTGCTGTACAAAGTACAACGTTGCCTCAGCTTGATTGGCGGGTGCTATTGAGTGCAGTTGATCAATGCGCATTGCTGACAACCGAAGCAGGAAACATTGGGGCATTTAGGTCAATGCAAGAACTGATTGTTGTTCACGTTTGACCTTTTCTCTTGGCTTCCGGGTGCTTTTCCCTTTTGGTGAATGCATTGAAGCATTTGTATTGGTTGATAGGCACGTCCCATGACGGTACGCCTTGCATCCATCAAGGAGAAACGGATCCTTGGCTCATGTTGTGGTGTTCTGCTTGTATGCGGTTGCTCATCATGATGCATGTCCATGCATGCGTGCGTGCGTGCGTGCGTGTATGCGCGTGCAGCTTGCGTGCGTATGCGTGTTTGCCTCGCTTCGCTGCTTGACTCACGCAAGTTTCCGGGTCTCTTTTTGTGTTTGAGCTTTGGCAAGGTGCTTCTTTGCATTTTGAGCCCCGGGGCAACTTACGTATCGATCTGTTCCATGGCGATGGCGACACTGGTGCTCCGTTGCGCCGGATTTGCCGGGGATGGATACCTATTGGCCAGCTGGCACCGATGCTGATCCTTGTGTCCGGGGTACAAGGCAAAGCCCCAGAAAAGTGGCACTGCAGATGTCGTTTGTGAGCAAACTACCCAGTCCCTTCAGTCCCCCCATGATTCTTATGCGGTTCAAAACCTTGCCTTGGCTTTGTGATTGCAAAGATTTGCGCAGAACATCCTTCCAACAAAAAGTTATGCAACAAGATGCCTGTTCAGAACTCAGCCAAATGGACATCACCGATTCTCCTTACTTGGCGGAACTTGGCGGAGCTGGCCGCGGCTTTTTCATTGCCAGGTTCGGTTCAGCCGTGCCGGGACCTGTGAAGGCTCGTGACAAGGGGACCGGCGCGCCCGCACAAGCTCGGGTTATGAGAAACACAATTGGAGGTACCCGTGATAAGGCTTGTGACACACGCATCAGATAATTATTCATTCTCCATGGTGGATGTAAATTTGCTGGAGAATCACCCTTGAGGTTGTGCCGCTTTGGGTCCTGCTACGGAAGCCTTGAGCGAGGTTCCCTCGTTCAAGCCTTTGCATGTTTTGCAGATATCAATCGTATATAGACAATTTTCTCTTTTCCATGGTGGATACATGAACCTCATGTGTCCCGAGATTCGGTAGCATGGCGCGCGAGAAAAGGTTCCTGGGATTGGAGAGAGGGTTTTGCTTTGGGCTTCCTCATGAATGCTAAGACACCCTTCATTAATTACCGGATATGTGGTTTCACACTTGGACGCCGTTGCTTTTTCTTGGCAGCTTTCAAGACTCTTAGCGGAGGAAACCTGCCTTTTGAGAATCGACTCCAATCCGACAGGCTGACACTTGATTGCTGCCTTGTTTGCTTCGTCAGACATGTTTGAGTAAAGCCTTTGAACATCGAGCCAGAGAAGGAGGCAGAACTGCCCAGTGCAAGACGTGTCATGTATGTACTGTACATGTCGACCGGAGCCAGGGATCATACGAAGTCAGACATGGCAATGCTTGCACAAGGAGTTTTGACCCGTGGTTTCATGTCGTGTGCTGCATGGCAGTTGCCCCCCAAGCGGAGCACTTGTCAAGGCTTGCGCTCGCAAATTGACAGCACGCTTCTAGGTCTTGGCATTAGGTTATCGACGGCTCCGCAGCCCTTTGTCGCAGTGTATGAAAGCCTGAAATGTCAGAGCACTCTTCACGAAAAATGGCTGCAATTGAAAATCAGAGTTGGCAAAAAACTCAAACTGGACGACTTTGGTTGTTCCAAGAAGGAGGGCAGAGCTCAGTGAAGGCTCACTGCCGTTTCTTACCATGGTCAGTATGCATCTACGCAACCAATTGCATAAGTTGCTGCCCTGAAGCCAACACTGTCAACACCCGCATGCAATCAAGTCTGCAGGGCGTGAACAAGATCCGGGCAGATCCGGCGCCACTAGACAAAAACTGAACCCATGGATTTGGCATGCTGCCTCGCTGAGCTGAGCAGCAGTGCTGGTTCCTGAGCAGTCGCAGTCGCAGCGAACATCATCTGAGCCACTTGCTCAAAACCGATTCGGGTAGATGAAGGATAGTAAGGGCCAGTCCCAGCCAGAAATCGTTGCGGATATCCGCCTTCTTAAGTCTTTACGTTGTTCTGGGTAGACCATTTTAACACCGGGTTTTGATTGTGAGATCGGAGTTCTCCATTGAAGCCGTTCGACTCACCGTGTCGTCCTTGCTTCGTGGCTCCCAGCCATCCGGTTCCTTAGCTTTGCGGTCTTTTTAGCGTTTAGTGGTTGTTTCCATTTCACCCACAAGTTAGTCGGGCCCAGCTTGTGTAGATGACCCAGCTATCCAACAAGATCGACAACCTTTGGTCGCTAAGTCGCGCTTTGCACAAGTTGGCGAAAGCGACATGCCTAGGTGGCATATCTTGCAGAGAGGGCAAACAGGCAGGAATGTCTTCGATGTTGCGTGCTTGTGTCTAAGCAACTCTGTTTGGCAGAGGGTGTTTCCCAAAATACGAGGACAACCCAGTTCACCAGTGTATCCCTCTGAAATCCAGTTAGACGAGGCTAGGACATATCCAATTTGAATGCCATCGAGGGGATTGATGGCAATGATATAAGTGAAGGGTCCAGGTCAGTTGGGAGGCATAACCATGACTGAGGGATCATCCAGCTTCAACGCATCCTCACAGCTGGCACGTTGGGTGCAGCATGGTCGACAGAAACATTGCAGCTTCCAGTTTTGTGCGTTGTGGCATGGCTACTGGACAGCAAGTCTCAAATATGACCACGTTGCAGGCGTTGCAGCAACAGATTTGCCCGAGCTGCTTGCCAGGAGCGAGGAGGCTGCATTGCCGGTGAGTCACGCACCAGCCGCGCTTGCTGCGTCCGTGGACTGCTCTTCCAGGACAGATCTTGGGCTTTGATGTTGACTAAGAGGCAAGTGGACGCGCTTTTTCGTCATCAAACCGTGTGTGCTCATTCTTTGGCCCCACGTGCCGAAGCCTCAACCAGTGAGACTTGCAGCATTTTGCACCACTCTAGCCCAGATTCTTGACTTGGCGATTTGGGGCGCAATGGTAACATGATGCTGCCATGCTTTGCCATGTTTTACTGTGTTTTGCAGTTCTCTTGCAAGCCACCGCAGCAGACTTGATGCCATCAAATTGATGAACGATCGGCTGCTTTCCCTTCCAAGTGTCACCATCTTTCAAGGGGGGAGGGGTCACACATCCTTGAGCCACAAGCGCATGTGCATGTTTTGGCCTTTGACTTCTTAGACTCCTTTTGAGCACTACAATGATTCTGATTTGGGCATGTGTCAGAGATACAGACCGCTTGACCATGGCAGGAGACAGGAGCTCCTGGAGGGATCACAGCTCCAGGCCAAGTGAGTTGAGTGCACCTCTCCATTGGTGGTTCTACGTCTTCCCGGAAATATGCAGGGGCGGCAGTGGATATGTTCAAAACACCGTGTGTGTTTTTTCGCCCCGGGACAGGCCGTCATCGACGTGCAGCTGCGGAACTTCCTCGCCTTTGCCGACCCCGAGGTGAAGGGCTTCAAGCACTTGGCAGGCTGGGCAGGTGTCCAAGGGGAACAGAGGCCTCTGACGCTCCCTGTCTTGAAGCAACCCTTTGCTTGCCTGCGATGCTTGGAATGACTTTGTGTTGTTCTCCTGGGACTCTGAGCTGGCTTATTACACGTGCAACAGGGTTTAACGCCAGTCGCAGCATGCGGCAAAGCCCAGTTGATTGTACCCGCAGGGGCGTTTGTTCGCATCACGTTGCTCATGCTGAGATAAGCAGCAGTATTTGAGATCCACAGAACAAGCGGCAGTCCACGTTTAGTTGTCGAGCTGGGAAGCCCGCGCTTGAAAACTGAGCGCTCCCAGAATCATGGCAGTTGTCTTCTTGGCATGACATCCATTTGATGAACTGTGCGACAAGCTGACACACTATGGGTGACAGCCTCTGAGCATTGGAGGTTCAGGAATACATGCAGAATTCAACATTGGATTGCTTTTGAGCATGTCGTTTGCTCATGCTCACGTCCTGGGGCCAATCGGCATTTGCAAAACATGATGCGCAGGTTTTTGGTGATGGTTTGTGCTTGCATACAGCTTTTGGATTTCGGCCAGCTCATTTCGTTTGGTCTTCTATGGCAGAAAATTAATGCTTCCACATATCACTTTGTTGTGCGGGCCGGGCGCGGCTTGCGCTTCCTGATGGGTGTGGCAGCCCAAGCTCATGGCGATGACGCAAAACCGTACAACGTATTACCTCTCGAGTCAATGGGCGATGAGCTGCAGAGACATGGCCAGTGCAACTCCGCCTTGGCTGGGGATGGTGCAAACAACAGATGCGCAAGGCAATCATAGGTGTGCAGGCAAGGTCCCTTGCTCTCTGTGCTCCGAGGATTAACATTTTGCCCCATGATGTTTGTAATGCATACTCCCTGCTAAGACTTGGTGTAAGCAAGGGTCACAGGGGGTTGCTGGTTTCCGATCATGGGCCGATAGTGACTCGCGAGCTGTTTTTCCTCAAGGACTTGGGCTGCGAATGATTAGCCCACTGAGAAAGCAAACTAGACAAGCGGCATACAAGCGGGTAGACGGGATGCACTGCATATTTACAGCGCTTGACTGCATGCCTCTGCATTTTTGCTAGCTCTACGTGCAAAGTGCAGCGTCCCCTTAGACAGGTAGCCCTTTTGAAGAGCTTTGATTCGAAGGTGTAGGATTCCCTGGCCAGCTTGGCAACGATCGCTGCGAGACCTGTCATTCCCAACACAAGCCCACTTGGCCAGCTACCAGATGATACCAGATGAAGCCACAAAGAACACAGAATCCGATCAGATCAATGAGCTGGCATGGCCGGAATGCGCTTTGAGGCCGGCTCATTGGCACATTGCGCACCTTGCGCATTCTGCAAGTCATGCTGTTTAGAGAATAGAGCAGGAGACTCTCTCAAAGCTTTCAAGGCTCAGCTTGTATAATTGTGCTGATTGTTCACTGTAGTAGGGCTCGAACATATTTTTCCGCACGTGTTTGAGGAAACTTCACTGTGCGATGCCGTGTTCTTGAACTGTTTTGAGTGTGGATGCTGGCCCCAAATTGGCCCAATCCAGATTCTAGTCTATATTAACATAATATATATATATATACACCATCATACATATATATATATATATATACATATCATATTATATAAGTGGGTATGTATTGTCACCATGGTCAACCCCTGCCTGAATAGAAAACCGACAAACAAAAATAAACAAACATCCGAGGAACATATTTGGTCCAGTCAGTCTTTTTGTGTTGGTTTCCTCTTAATTGTTTTTCAGCTTCCTGACTGAAAAATTAAAGACACAGTTGTGTGGTGTTTTTGGCATTTGCCACTTATTTGTTGTTTTTCTTTCATGCCTAGCTGTATAGAGCAGAGCAAGAAAACCCACGGAAGAAACGAGACACCCACACAAACGAGAAGAACAGCTGGAATCAATGATTTTCCTTGGATTTGTGTTTCTCAGCTTTTTGTTAGTTATCTCGAATATTGTTTTCCCGCTGAGTCTTTGATTTTCTTGCACAACACAACTGAATACAGCTTGTGTTTTTCTTGAGTTGCTTCTTTTGGGGAAGCTCCTTCGAAGGCTCCCTACAAAGCTCCTTGTAAAATTCCTCAAGCTCCTTACAAAGCACCTTTCAAGGCTTCTTAAAAGGTTTCTTATACAGTACCAAATATGAATGTCATTTTGAAATCAATCAACATTTGATTGGGATAGAATCAATTAGGCATTCTATTTTACACGAGACTCTAAGGAGGAATGCCGCAATGCCTTGCCACAAATCAATGACATGTAAGTATATGCGTAGAATTTCACCTGGCGTCAGAGTCCTGACTCAAGCCTCACAAACCTCTCTTTACAGGGCTCTTTGAAACAGCCCCTCATAAAAGTGTAAGCTCCGTGCAAAGCTCATGTTAAAGCTTGTTACAAGGCTCCCTGTGACCCTATGCTTCCCTTATAAAGCTTCTTGGTGAGCTTTTGGTAAGACTCTTCATGCACCTAGCAAAGCTACCCACAAAGCTGCTTGTAGCTCCTTTCAAGGCTCCTTGTAAAGCTTCCTGTAAGGGCCCCTGTGAAGCTGCTCAGAAAAGCCCCTTACTGAAAGAAAAAAAGGTATGAAGCTCCTTTCAAGGCTCATTGAAAGGTCTCTTATACCAATCAAGATTCAATTTAAACTTCAGTGATAATTTACATAGAATTGAATAAGGACCGAATTTAGTTTGAATGTCCACTGTGTATGAGAATTCAAAGGCAAATCCCTTTCCAAATGTGAGCTGTCACTATATTCAACTCGAATATGCATATAAATTCATTTGGGTATATTTCAATTAGAACCTTTATCTTCAATTATAATGTTGTTTTACATACACTTTCAAAAAACAGTACATGATAAGAGAAGAGTTCAGCTTTGATTTCTACATTGATCACAACGTCAAGATCAAAAAAATGATAGATATCAAGAAGGAAAGAAACTACAATTCAAGTATAATTTCCTTCCCAAATAGGATTCAGCTTTGAATCAAGTACATTGATAAGCGCCCCACAGGGTTTTAGTTTTTTGTCAGTTCATTGTGGGGGGGGGCCGCTAGAGACTCAGAGGCCGGGGCCAAAAACTAAGAAGATAGATCAAGCAACTCTCACATGAATCCACTTGGAGGTCCAGGAGATCTTGGGTGGGGGGATCGTATTCTATATACGCATACGTACAGATGCATCAGATGCAAATTGCTGAACGTCGATCCAAAATCTCCACGTGGCCTTCTGGTCATGTTTTCTGACATTGGCTTGCTGCGCGTACACGGAATGTCAGGGTCCGATCCTTGTTTCGGATCTTGTGAAATTCCGAGGAGGATCTTGTTGAGATTTGGGCGTGCCTGTTACTTGTATCAGAGTCTGGCTATAATTTTTCCATATGTGACCACCTCAAAAGGGGGTTGATGTCCACCAAGGCCTAAGTACAATTCATACCCTGGTGTGTGCCCTTTCGTTCACCATGGCTTCAACAAAAATACCTAGGCAGAGGACTCAATCAGATCCTTCTGCATATTACTTTACTTGTCGCCGGAGGTTCGAGTCGGCGCAGTCTTCCTCTGCTTGAGCCTTTCCAGAGCTGCAGAACAGGCAGGAGCGCTGCGTGAGTGTGTGGGTGCGTAGGTCGGTGGGTGCGTGGGTGTGTGTGTGTGTGTGTGTGTGTCTCTCTCTCTCTCTCTCTTGGTGTTTGTTTCTGTTTGTGTGTGTGTGAAAGTGAACCTCATTTGCAAGTCAACAACATGTGGCGTTCCGGTGCCGGTTGCTTTGCTTCTTGAGTCATATCAATGTGCAAGAGCCCTGTTTTGAGTTTGGTCGGATGCAACTCAGAGGTCTGAAGGGCTGCATGATTCAATCATGAACTGTCTCGTGGGGGAAGGGTTTGCGGGATAGCATTTTGGAGAAATCCTTTGACGTTTCCAAGGCTTTGGCAACTTGGCCGCAAGACGGGAAGAACACCATGGCCGCATGGGGTAGTTTCGAAGGTATGGCAGCCATGGTTGGAAGTTCGGCTGAGAGTGCTTGAGTGGTTTTCTGTCTCTTCTTCTGGCAGATAGGGGAGGGACCAGGCGTGTTTAACGAGGCTGCACAACCCGGTTACAGGGTCTGCGCTCTGCCGATGTGCCAGGTATGTCACGACACACCTGGATGGACGAATGGGTACAGTGCCTGCCACTGATTCGCAAGATGAGAAGAGGGAAAGCGAAGGCCTGCGAAGCAAAGATCTGGAGTTGTCACAAAGGCGACGCATGGGCTAACAATCCATCCCCACGCAGGATTCCCGAAATGAAGCATGCGTACGACGCCTTCATTTTGGATAGAGAGGGTGCAGTGCAGGAGGAGTAGAGTTAAGATCCTGAGACTGCTTTTCAGACTGAGGCAACAACTATGTGCCTGTCGATCCAGATTGTCACGAGCAGGGCGTTGTTTGCCATTTCTATGAGGCAGGTGGTTTGCTCTTTTGTGCAGCTCTAGAGCATGTTGGACTGTAGACAGCTCTAGGGCTTGATTCCTGTCCCATTCTTTTCAACCATTGATCTCCCCCCTGATCGCTGTTTCCCCTAGGTGTTTGAGGATTTCTTGAAAAGAAGGATCTCCGGAAAGAATGGGGAAGCTTCCCCTAGAACAGCAGTCTTCTCCATGCATATCATGAAAACTGTTCGCAGCCTTCTTGACGATGGTCACGATAATTTTGTCGGCATTTGGTCCACACCCCAGAAAGAGACAATCTGGCAGCGCGCGTGTGAGCTTCCCAAAACTAGCACGCGGACGGAACCTGCATGAGTACTAGTGTGATGGAATCACCTTTCCATTTTTTCCATGGCGAATTGTGCTTCTTAAGTGACTTGGCAATATGTTCATGATCATAATCAGATGGCCAGTAGAAATGATGAGCTATCTCTTGCCGAAGTGGTGTTTATGTTGTTTCGGCAGGTGACTTCATTGGAATCAAGCTGTGATTCCCCTCTTCTCTCTCTCATGTCCAGCGCTTTTCTTGTTGCGCTTTATCCAGGGGATCCCGCAAGTGGAGAACCTTTTTATGCCAGGCACACCCGGCCTTCTGCGCCAAGGGCCAGAACGATCCGTGGATGCGCCGCGGCGTTCAACCGCGTGGGTTTTTTGATGTTTGCACTCAGAAATTCGGTTGATGCATTCAGAACTTTGGTTGAATTGATGTCGGTCCAGTGGTCCAGCCATCTGAGAGATGATGGGCAGTTTGGGCAAAAGTCGCCTTTCCACTACCTTAACTGATGGCGCAAAGACAGGAGTCTGAGGGCAACTACTCTGAGTGCGTGCGGGGCCTGATCAAGCATGTTGCTGGCTGGTACAGCATGCAAAGAAACTCAGTCGGGCCAACATGGAAGCAAGGCGGCGTTGACCCCGAATCAAAAACTGTTCTTAGCTGTTGCGGTTCTTGCTTTGCTTGTGCTTGCCCCTAGTTTGCGTCTTGCTTAGCTGATACCGTAGTCATGCTTCCTGTTCGGTGGAGGGGGGAAGAACCTCCAAACACCACCTGCAACCAGATCCGCGTGTTTTTATTTCTGCGTTGACTCGTTGCCTTTTCCGGGGGCCTTTCTTATTGTTTGGTTGCAGGAACTGCTGCACCTGCGGCGGCGGCTCCACCTTCGATGGGAAGCGTCCGACCACGCCTGGAGCTGAGACAAGGGAAGCTCATGTGGCTGTGGGTCAAAACCAATGGCTCCATTTTGGGGTAGGCGCACCACCCATTTTAGTCTGTTTCAGTGGGGATTGGGATGTTCACTGGGGGTACGGGATTTTGACCCACGGCCGTGTATGCGTGTAATTAACCCAGCCGCAATAGCACTAGCAGTTTTCCCCCAACTCTTGCAGCTTTCGTTGCAAGGCATGTGCGCACAAGCCGTGGAAGCCTTGCGATGTGATTGCTTCGAGCCATTTCGAAAGCCTCGATGCCAATCCTTGTTGCCAGGCTCGCAAAATCCTCGATGTGCAAGCAAATGGAACACCATCTGGGCATAATTGCAACCAGAACATCAAGCGGACACCGCCTGGGACACTATTATATTGGGGCAGCGCGAGAGAAGAGAACCACCAAGACCACCAGAGCATCGTTGGGACGACAAGCAGGGCAGTGCGCAGACTCTGTCACTGCTCGCAACGTAAAACACAGCCACTACCAGGATGCACCACCAACATCGGCATGCCGCCGGCTGGGACACTGGAGCATGAGACACTTCCGGCGAATCGCAAGACAACAGTACCTCGATCGGGCCACCAAAATTTTCAGGATACCAGTGGGACACAACCGGGGCACTGGGACCCCAGACACTGGATCAAACTCCACAGGGACGCCGCCAGGACACCAGAACATCACTGGGAGACAACCGGGACACACGCCAGGAAAATGCCATACCGCCAATCTTGACGACGTAGTAACTAATGGCCATCCCCTTCTACCTCAGATTCCCGTTGCAACATGGCCTGTCTTTGTTTGTGGATTGCTTTCCCAAACGGAACATGAGGCACAGATTCAGTCCATCTTCCCCCAGCTTCTGCCAGCCGTAGCTGGTGCTTTCTGTCAACCCAGAGATCTGCTGAATGGTCAGTAGGTCAGCTTGTCGGCTTATTTTTTGCAACTTGCACCGAAAGAGCAGACCCAGATTTCGTTGTAATTGGCCGCCACCTGTGATTTTTGTCGGTGTGTTGAGCATCTGTAAGTTCAGAGAAGTACATGTTTTTGTTTTTTTGTTGTGGGCGCATCTACATTGAACTTATGATTGAACATCCAGCTTCTAGATCCTAGCTTGGGCACATGTTTTTTTTTTTCACCATTCCATGAGGTCGCCGCCACCAACAGTGGATATCCCCGTCTTCAACTGGCTGCAGGGTACTCAGATGCGGGTCCATCTTCGGGTATCGCAGCTGCCCAGTGAACAAGGACACGGACAGCAGCGTAAAACCAACGAGTTCGATAGACCTACAATGTGCTCAACACGGACGCTAATTCTGGAGGACAACACACAGCTGCAGAGCCTGAGATACAGCAAGTGCAAAACGCCATGTTCCATTCCAGTATATGTCGGAGGTCCTGCATCCAAACTAGATAGGTAGTTGACCTCCACTTGTTGCTTGCCGCAGCTATCGACGGATCGAGTCAATTAAAGCCCTTTCGACTGAGTTCGACGATCATTAGATTGGTGAACACCTCAACAGCTTTGTGTACCGCTGAGTACCGCAGGTTGTGCATCCGTCTAAGTTTTTGTTCATGCTGATCTCCGCGGGAATCCACCAAAACCGGAATCCCTTCTGTTGACTGACACCTTCCCGGGTGCTTCTTCGTTGCTCAACTCGTCCTTCAGTGGCATAGGTGGTTCGTACACAACAGCAAGCGTCCGGTCGAGTGTTCAAATGGCAAGATGCAAATGTTGATCCAAAGAGTGAGCAATGTATACATGCATGATTACCAGCGGAGGTGCTGTGTTGAGACTTTCTGCACAAGTCTGACCATCAGATCTCAATATTCCTGTTGCGGAATGCTGAGCCCAATGGCGACAATGAACTATCAAGCAATAAATGAGAAGTGAGAAAAGAACACTCCAATGTTTGTTTTTTTGGCACTTATGCTTGACTTCAACATGGTTGTACACGTCAAATCATCTCGCCAGAGGTTTCAACATGTTGTGCTTGCCAGCCTCGGGTGTTGTTCTGCGACCGACGCGAGGTTTCTCTTCGCTGGGGTAGCGTTTGGGATGAAATGATTGAACCTGTCCTAACTACCACTCCAGTGCTTGGCACTGAATATCAAGCCACGTGCACTTCCTGTTCACAAACCGTAGCAGGTTCCCCATTGTGCCATGTTCATTCATGCCTTTGGCATCTTTTGCCAAGAAGCAAATTGCCATGGTTCGATTCAACTGCATTGTCAGGTTTATTTGGCATGGATGTCCAAGGGTCATGCCGATTCAACACGTTTTTTTCGCGTTGTCTCGAAAGACTCTGGAAGCAAGATGATGACTTGCTATTTGATGTTGCGCGAATTGTTTGACTTGCCACTGCCTGCGGTCATGCCATAGTGCGAATCGAATATGCAGCACTTCGCGTCTCTTGGCCATTCAACCAGCAGTCGCCAAATGGTCAAAGACAGCTTTACCATGCAAGGCTGACAGCGACCGCAAAGCAAAGCCCAGACCTTACCTGAATCAGCCAGCAATGTAACTTACTAAGGGGTGCTAGGCAAACAACCTATTCGACTACAGCCCCAAATATATATTGCAACATTTAACACAACGTGTTAGCTCTTTCCATCAGGAAGCACGACATGATTTTCGACTCTTGCCATGAGATTCGGGGACAATAGCAGTGTTGAACCAACTCATTCCTGACGCAGGCAAAGCGCAGACACACACACACACAGAAAACCAATCAGGGTTGTTGGGTCGGTTCAACACCAAATCATTGTCGCACGATAGCACAACTTCCCCCCAAATGCAAGCCAAGGGCCACACCTAACATCAACCAGTCCTCAATTTACCATATGCAACCACCCCAAACCTGCTCAAACGATTGCCTGAACACACCATACCGCAGCTGAAACGAACCCTACACCAAGCACCAGCAACTCCCAAGCCAACCCAGGATCAACCCGCCCCGCAACTTTCCACACTGGTGACCAGTGATGGTACTTCCTACAACTTTCCTATTACAAGCTGCAAGCAGGGGACAGCAGCCGCGAACGAGGGGATATTCACACTTCGATAGTGGACAACCGTTTGACCATGTGAAGCTGTGCTAGGCCTGGTGTGAAGACGATGGAGCATGAGCTTGGCCTCTCGGAACAAGTTGACTGGGTTGGTGTGTTTATGAATCGCCGCACTGCTGAACATACAGCCTTGTATCAGGGATGTTTCCCGTTTGGAGACACCCAAATCGGAGAAAGACCAGCAACATTCATGCATGTTCACCGTATTTCATCAAGCGTGAACTTTCAGATGGCTTCACAGGAAAGCGATGAGGCAAGGCCACCCAGGGTTCCGCTTTGTTGGACTACCCCAAGGTAGACTTAAACCCAGAGGTTTCCCTTTTGAGGAAATCTACCACCCCGTTCAAGTCCACTTTGGGGTTGTCAAACATAGCGAAAATGGAAGCCTCAGGCCGCAAGAAGGCCATAGGTGTCCTTCTGATCAGTTGGATTGGTTAGACATAGATGAGTTCCACTGGTTTAGATGGGTCTTATGAGCCGTTCATCACGTCTATTTGGGTATGAGCCAAAATCAAACCGCCAGACCGCAGGTTTTAATCCATGGCAACCCATTTACCACGGCCACCCATTTCGGGTGCCCAGTGACCCACCGCCATTTTCCGCCAAAAGGCCCATGGGGGCCAAGGCAAGCTGAAGCAGCAGATGAAGCCCCTGGAGCAGGGCATGCATGAGGCGGCTGGCCAAGTTCTGTGCACTCACAACATGGCTGTGGTTGTCAAAACCAACAGTACCATTTTGGTTGGTAGGTGACTTCACCACCCATTTTAGTCGAAGTTTTTAGTGGGAAACTGGGGTGTTCACTGGGGGTACGGGATTTTGACCCGTGGCTACATGGGGCCTGGGCTTATTCTGATCATGGGGTAAGATACTTGACTGCTATTGGGTTGGATCTTTAGACTTTAACGTTTTGATTGAACTCAAGTTGGGCTTTCCACTAAACCCCAAAAAAGTTACACTTTTTGCAGGGGGGTCAACAGCAACCAAGGATATGGGTGTGTCTTTGTTTGGTGAACCCCAAGAATGGCTGGTTTCATTTTGGCCTCCCTTTAAAACCAACCAAGACACGGTACCCCAAAAGAAGATAGACCCATATTGATACATGGCCAGGAAGATTCACCCCCTGAGCATCATCGCCACATGAGCAAATTGTTGAGGTGGGCCACTTAGCAGCCGTGTTTATCTTGTCAACTCGGAGGAGCATGCGAGCATGCGCTGGATTGTTGAGTCATTGATTGAGTCATTGAGAAAGGTCGTCCACCGAAATTCATGATGCTTGGATATCAGCTTAAGATACAATCGCATGTGTATGTGTGTGCGCTTGTGATGGTGGCTGTGGCTGTGGTTGCATGTGTGTGTGTATTTGCTTTTCTGGGGCCGTTGTCCTTTCAGCTTGTCATTGAGACTTTGAGAGCGGAGCACGTGACCCATGAAAAGCCTTCCGCAACGGAGACGAAATGCTGTCCAATTCAGTCACCACAGACCACAAGTCATTCCAAGTCAGACAGAGTATCTGTCTCCGCCGTAAGCTCAATTTTTTGTTGTTGTTAGACTCCTTGTGCTCTTGCTGGGGTCATTGTTTTGCCGGCTTCTGGGGGTTATCAAAGTCAGAAAATGTGGTTATTTCCCTTTAACCCACCACTTAGGGGGTGACTTTGATCATGGCAAAATCATGAAGCCAGTCTTGTGCTGTTGCGCCATTTGGGCATGGGTCAACTTAAACCACCAGGGGACCGCAGGTTTTAGTCCATTCTTCCATTCACCAGGGATCCAAATGTTTGGAAAACTTTTTTTTTTGATCCACACCCATTTCTCGTGTCTCGTGTCTTCCCATGTCCCGCAAGGCGCGATTTCCGCGATGTCCGGCGCCAGGTCTACGCGGGTCTCCGGGAGCCCGACTTCAACGCGCCCCCGGAGCTGGAGGGCCACACTGAGGGGGAGGCGAAATGTCGAGAGAGTCGAGCGGAGGGCGTGGAGCGCGTGGGGGTGGAGGGTTTGGGGAGCCGAAAATTGTTTGGTTGGGGCTCCCGTTTGTTTGACCCCCCCCATGAACGTCCAAAAAGGGACGGGAGGGGGGAAAGGAGGGGGGTCAACAAAAAATAATGGGGTTCCAGCCACTAAGCATGCAACCCTATGGTGCTTAAACATCCTGAATTGGCGTGTTCTGTACACTCCCCCAGGCGATTCCATGGAAGCAACCAGGAACGGACACCGAAATGGAGGACTTGGTTCCATGTACAGGATCAGCCAATTGGGGGAGCTTCCGGCTAGTCACTAGTCTGAGAGAGTGTGCCTGCCTGAGACGAAAGGGGTTAGTTGGGGACTCTAGGAAATCCTCGCAGAGGCAGCCAATAGGTGTGGATGGTTTTGAAGGGAACACTTTGGAGTAATTGCCTCAAGATGAGCACCTCAAATGAAAGGACCTATGTGATAGCCTCACATGTGAACAATTTGGAGCATGTCCTTGGATGAGCACACCCGTATGTGAAAGGACCAGAGGTCAATTCAACATTAGTAGCCCAGAATGCTGGATGCCGGTAACGCGTGTGTTTGGTTACGAGCTTGTTGCATGAATGTCTCCATTGGGATAAAACCATGGATGTAGAATGGATGCTGCCAGTCCAGTTGTTTGCTTTTTGTGCGTTGATGTGGGTCACGCCCATGATTGCATTTTGTGATGTTATCCTCACCAACTTTTCGCAAAACCGTCTGGAAAAGACAAAACTGTAGTTTTGGCTTGGACACATCCTGAGCCATTTTCAATCCAGTGATTTGTGGATTTGGCCTTCTCATTTTCGGGAAGCCTGAAAGGATGTTCCCTGAGCTCCCATTTGCTTAAGAATATGTTTTATTTTCCCTTGTTGGTTTTAAAAGGAATTTGTCACTACTGGAAATATATTTGTTTCCAGGAGTCTTAAGCAAATGGAAGTGAGGTGAACGTCGTGGTCCTGGGCCTCATCTTTCTGGTGGTCATTGCCACATCGCTGGGCTACCTGCTGGATGCCGCGGGCTGAGATGGCATTTTGCCGAGAAAACGGACAAGGACACGAATCAAAAGGACAAGGGGGCGTGGTGGTGGGGTGGCGTGGTGGTGGGGTGGCGTGGTGGTGGGGGTGGGGGTGGTGGTTGGTGGTGTCCGCTGTCTGCATGTAGTTTTCTCCATGCCTGGTTACCTGGTTGCGGTGGTAGCAGACCAGGCACATGGCTGGTCACACCTTTTTCCGCAATCTTTGTGCGGTGCGGTTCACCTGGATTGTGCCGGTTCAAGACAATCCTGTCAAGGCTCAAGCATGCAAAAGGGCTGAGGCGCGTGATCTCAATTATTGTTTGAGTCAAGAGCAATGGTTGTTGATTTGCGATGAAGGCTTGTTCGGTGTCTGGAGAGTTCAGCCTGGCGTGGCGACCCCAGTGCTGCACAAGAAGCATCTTGCAGCGAGCCAGAACCCAAATGGTTCGAAACCCGAACAAGAGGCTGCCCGCCCGGAAGCTTAACTTGGTCTAGTGGCTGGAGGTTTGGTTGGCGGATTTATCGGCTTGTGGGTTGGTCGCGTGGTTGCGTGTTTGGCTGCTTGGGGTCGGTGGGCGGGTGGGCAGGTGGGCGGGCGGGCGGGTGGGTGGGTGGGAGGGTGGGCTGGTTGGTGGATGAGTTTGTTGGGCGGCCGGTTACTTGCCAGGGCGCGGGAGGGCGGAACATCTTAGCACCCTGGAACTGTGCTCTGCTATCGTCATCATGCCGGCCGCTTTTTGAAGGGCTGCTTTGAGATCTGCAAGTCGTGTTGAGATGGTTCAACCGCAACGCATGGAGGACTGACCTTCGGCAGTGACTCACCTTGAGGGCAGAGGAAAGTGACGTCAGGCGCAGTGGGCCGCCTCTGGTGCCGCACCTGGCCCGGCTGGCCGCTCGCCAGCGTGGGCCACTGCCATGATGGCAACAAGCTATGCGCCTCAACTGAAGATCTGCATGCGGGTGGTTTGGGGCCGGGGCGTGTTTTTGTCGTTTAGGATTTAGGGGGCTGGGCTGCCTTCGGGGAAGGTTTTGTAGTATATAGGGGGGGTACCCGCCGCCTCCACCCCCCGAAGGGTACTATTCCCCCGCCCCGCACAATCTTGTCCACATGTGGTTGCAGCCAGGGATTTTGTTCGTTAGGACCTGGTCCAAGTTCTGGTCTTATTGACTGTCTGGGTGTTCATTGCAGGTTGCTATTCTTAGAATCTTGGCAACCAATGGGTCGTGCATGTCGTTGTTGGGCTGGCTAGCTTTGGTTCACCCGCCTCTCAATCAAGAGGCAAGGGTACCCATTTCAAAGTGACCCCAAAGGTACTCAAATCACAACCACTCTATTCCATTTGTGGAATCATTATAATTGTAGCGACCATGATATCCATCATGTTTGGACTGCAGCAGGCGTAGAAAGATCGCTGTAGTTCTGTGTGGATTGCCCACCAGTGCCTCGCAAGCTATCTGCGCTTTCTCCTTGCAGCATTTGTTTGTGACCATGAGTTCAGTTGCAAAAGTGTCCAGCTGTGTTGCCGTGAACAGATGATCGTGGGATACACTTGCCTTCCTTCTCGCGGAACGTGGAGTACATCCTTGCCTTGTGAGTGTCTATCTCGCGGGCCGAGGTGTTGCTACTGCCAGGTTTGACTCAGGTGCTCTTTAGCTTCAACATCGTGGTGAACGAATCTGAGCTGCAATGGGCGCGGGTGTTGAAGTGTTTACCACGGCAAGTCGCCATGAGAGGGGAGATTTGAGGGTCAGCCAGCGGTGGAAGAAGGTGCACGACCTTCCCCCATCTTTCCAGCCAACAGAAACCTCCAGCCACCAATAGAAACCCACTCAAGCTGCTGCGTTGGGAGCACGGCATTGTCAATTCCCTTCGACTTTGAACTTGTCAAGTGGTCGTGGGACTGTGGCAGTTGCATGTCAGATCGTTGCTGGGTACAAAGAACGGAGTTGCTTCAGGCAAGCGCGACTTCGGGGGGAATGGGCAGTTGTGCCGACTAGCGCAGGATGGGAAGCTACTCAGCTGTGTGCAAGCTGCAATGGGTATGCAAAGTTGCACATGTTCGGCTCCTCTCATTTCTAGGCGCCCCGATTTCCATCAGTGCAATGTCCACGTCGCTCAGGTGCTGGGGCACCGCATCAACGTGCAGCCGGAGAAAGATGAAAAGGCCTGCACTGAGACGGTGACGGGCCTGGTGCAGCTGCTGGAAAGGACAGGATCCAGGACAGCGCGATGCAAGACTCAAATCCATAGAGACCGGTCAACTTCCCATCTAGAAACCGGTCGAATTCCTTAGAAATTTGCACGTTCGCTTGGGCCACTCGACGGTGCGTCAAGCCAACCCCTGGCAGCTGAATCCGCAATCTGCAGTCTGCCCAAAGAAGCGGACTGGAGCTCGCACAGTAGCTGGGCACAACCCGGCCCTGTGCTGCGGTTTTATGCTGCGCAAAGGGCGTGACTCTTGAAGTCTTGTCTGGAACCCGTACCCTTGCGCACGTTTTTGTCACAGGACTGGGGCTGTGCTGATCATCCTCTATGCCGTGGTGGTGCCGATTGTTAAGCTGCTGCTACTGGCGCTGGGTGAGCTCTTCAGGCGCCCTCGGCGTCACCTGCATGTCTCTGGCATCGAACAATGTAACATCTCCCTAGAAGGGGTGTCTAGATATTTATGGCTTTGCCAGCATGGGCCTCTTTTTTGGATCTTCCTGCAACATGTTGTTGATTGCTAAAGAGAGATGCTTGTAGGCAATCTGGCGCGAACATGCAATTGTGCTGCTTGCACTGTCTCGCCGACTGTGACGGTGCAAGCTTTATGTTGGCTAACACTGCTAAGTGTGTTGCATCATTGCCTGCACTTCGCCCTTTTTCAAGACGGATCAATCGTTTGACGCAGCCTTGAAGCAGGTAACCTCACGCACATGCAAAGTCCTGGCATGGTTTGCTGATTGCTGAACTGTGCCGGCATCACTCGACTTGATTCTTGAGTCTTGTCGGGAGCACAGATCCAATCGTGGGACAAAGAATCATTGTCACCAACCAATATACGCCCCTGAACATTCCGCATGGAAGCCTAGGAACTCTTGTTCGTATACTCTTGTTGAAAGAGTCCCTTGTTCCAGGTTGCCTTGAATTTCAGGGCATACCGTTCGCCCGCGATGGTTCTTGTTTGGATTTGATCGCTTCGGATTCCGGCCAGGCACTCCCGCGCTCGGTTCCTGGTGGCTCAGATGCACGGAGTGCATGCCCTGTTTCTGGTTTTCACTTGAGACCGGCTGCTTTTTGGCTGTCGAAGTGAACATGAAACTGGCATGTGGAGCGATTCCTATGTGGGTGTGGCTCAAAATTAACCAGGAGGGGTTGCGCAGGTTTTGGCAACCATGTTTCCACCAGGGCTCCATGTTGGCACCGGCTTTTTGAGCCACAGCCATGTGGAGCGACTCCTACGTGAAATCGGAAGGACCCGGAGACCGCAGGTTTGGAGCCGGGCCCATCGGGGTAGGCTCCCGCTGGGAGGGGAAAAGCCGTTCAGCCAGGACCTCATGCTAGATGTGCGGGGTTGGGCATCGGTCTTTTGCAGTCTGAGGCTAGATTCAGATAGGTTGGATCTTTGACGGTGGGCATCCACAACCTTGTTTGCACAAGCAGATTTGTCAACCACACTCTGGTAGCTTGCAACTTGGTCTGCGATTTGTTTATGTTTGGCTAAGGCAGCTTCTTTTGCAGATGCTGAGTGGCAGGATTGTACATGTTTCTTGTGAAAGGCCCTACAAGCAAACACTATTGCCACGCGCTGGACTGTTGGGCTCGACGCTGAGCGGGTCGATTTATCCATTGGAGCGACAATCTACAGCCGTGTGAGGATACATATTTGGAGCTTTTCAGCCAATAGCCAACACGTGTATTTGGGTCTGGAAGAAAGCTTCCGCAGAGCGCATGCCTGGGCTGCAGGTGGCGCTCTCCCGAATCTGCATCATCCTTGTGCAGAGCATCTCGAAATGGGCCTGCCGGTGCCTTAGTCCAGCCTTGGCCTTGAATGCGGCGGTCTGTTTTCCAGCCCAGCATCCCCATGTTTTTAGACAGGCACAACAGCTGTTGCTGCTTTTGGGGCCTGACCCCCTCCCCTAACAAGAAAACGCCGCGCACTTGGTTGCACTAAGCGAGTCGCAAGGACAAAGGTGTGCAAATCCTTTTTCCGGGGCGGCCGTGACTTTCCATAGCAATCGAGTTGCAGAAGCCAGAAGCGTTCGGCTCAGGACCAGTCTCCTGATTCTGCCCACTGCAAGATCAATTGGCCACGATGTGAATCCGTTTCCAGAAAGCCTGACCCTGCGGTATGGCTTCCAATCGAGGCCCGGACATGTTCGCCTACATCCTGCTGGTGCATTTGGTGCGGCTTTTGCACCATGACCCCATCATTTTGACCGCCGCGCAGCTGGACGTGGGCTTCTCCTGCTTCAGCGTCTTTTGCGTTTGCTCCACGGTGTCGTGCTGACCTTAGCTCCAGGCAACCAGCTAAGAGCTCGTTTCAACATGCTGTGCTACTGACCTGAGCTGGACATGCTTGAAGGGAAACAGATCGGAGTTTGTCTTTGCGGTCCAGTGAGTTTCCTTCTCGACTTCCGTTTCAGAGCAGCTGGTTTTCTCGACTTATCCTGACAACTGCAGGATCCCATTGATGCGAGCCAAATGCAGACGATTGCTTGTCCTCAAGTCCTCAAGATTGTCAGAATGGATTGTTGACATGGGCAGAGTATCTGAATATTGGCTTAGGTTGTTTGGGTTTGTCTCAAAGTAGGGGATTGCAAAATATGGCTTCGATTCTCCTGCATCACCCGCCCCAAAAGGCCACACCAACTGAGAAAAGACGAGCCCCCCCATTCAGGTCCTTGGGCATCACTCTACCAGAGCTGCCTGGACTCAAACCCAGGACCGGGAGAAGAAGTTGTTTTTGGTTGAGGTATTTCTATCTGGAGACATAGGCGCACCAACGCGTTGCTTAAAATCTAAAGCGCCGTGTATAGATATTCTATATTATATTGATAGATATGGATAGATGGATGGATGGATGGATGGATGGATGGATGGATGGATGGCTGGCTGGCTGGCTGGGTGGGTGGGTGGATGGATGGATGGATGGATAGATAGATAGATTACACACCTGTTGTTTTGTGTTGAAGAACCTGCATCCCAATGTTCACTTTGGTCTATGTGTAAAACCCTATGCTCGAATCCACACAACAAGATGTTGCAATTCAAGCGCGAGGTCTCATTGACGAGCGCTCATAGGAAACGCGATGGCACAACCTCAAGTGGATTCTGCACAGGAGGCACTTGCTTCACGTCACTTACATCGCCTACCTGGCACAATGAGAAATGAGTTGAGGGTGCTCATTCCTCGCTAGAAACCTGCCTAAGGCCTTTCGAGATCCTTTTGTGCAGGAGAATCAAGCGATGCCCACGGATGAACTGGATACGCTGGATAGCTAGAACGTTGTATGGATGTCAGCGTGCTGCTCCGCAAGCTGCCGGTGAAGCGCTTTCTACAGACGTCTGTTTTCTGCTTCAAGGCCCAAACAAGTCCAGATCAAATATAGATATGTGAGGCAGCATGGCCAAGGGGCGTGGGCTTTGGCTTGGTGCATAACTTTCCCAGACTCGCAGCATTCTTTGCATCCCTTGAGCCTTCGGCATCCAGGACCTTTTGGCTGAGCAGACCGGTGAGCTTTTGGCTGGCCGCTGTACTGGCGGTTATCTTTGTACCTTGGCCCGAAGGTGTGCCAAAGCAGCCAGGTCTTGGATGTTTGTAGTGGTCGTCGCGTTTGAGGAAGGGAATTATGGCTACCCGCATGGCGCTGATGGTGGAAGCTTGTGTTTGAATGCAATTTGCTCGATTGAGTCAGCCAGCAGACCAGTTCCTTTGTGTGTTACTGAGAGGCCGATGAAATTCCCCCAACAATAAATACGCCCCCCATTAGCCCGTTGATAAATATTCTCTGGGTGGCCAAGCAATATTTACTCATGGGGGAATTAGGGATCAGATGGGCTTCCCCAGTAAATGTACTACGTACTAATCCCTTGAAAAGCGGGCCCAAATTGAAACACGGGCTTGCCTTGAAAAGGATAAAACCTGTTGCTGCGTCAATGGGTTGATAGTACAAACTTTTAAGCGGAAAGAGGGACCTTGGGTTTGTGAATTCTGGTTAGTATGGGGTTACAGGAAGCCTAAGCCTGGGACCTAGAGTACCGCAAATAAGACTAGGGTCGGCTTTGGCAGGGCAGCAAGTTTAGTAGCCCCTAGAATGTGTGTCTGGGAAAAGACGATATGTTTTAGTATTAGTTGGGTGCATTTAATTCATACTGCGGATGGACGAAATTTGTTCGCGCCACATTGAAAATATTGGAAACCATTGTTTGTTATTTACAGGGGACTCATCAGAAACCCGGGTTTCTTAGGTGGTGCGATTTCTGGATTTCGTCCATCAGGGGAAGGGGCTCTGGACCCGCAGGCCGTCGCCAGTTCCTTGGCTCAGGTCCTCCTCTTCTTCGCGGGACTTTACATGCCCTGCATGGCCTTGAGGACCGGCGCACGGCTGCGGCGAGCACTGCACCGCCATCGCCGGCTTTTTGGTCGGCCCAAAGGGGAAGCGGTTTGCAATGAACGCAGTGTTTGTGGCAGATTGGAGTAGACACCCTATGTCAATAGATGACTTTCTTTTTGTTTTTTTCCATTTTGTGTGTGTGGGTCGGACAGATTTTCAGGCTCACTGCGGTCTAGCAAGTTCTCCAGCTTACTCACTTGCGGGCTTGGGCTGTGGGACAACGCATCTCCATGTGCAAGCCTGGACAATGCCACGAAATCCGCCCTGCCCTTTTAGCCCCGGTGCTTTTGGGTACATGACTGCAACACATCAGAATCATGTATATTATACAGATTATTATATTTAGATGGGTTTTTACATATTATAAATTATATATATTATTATATATATATATATTATATATATATTATTAGTATTATTATTATTAGTAGTATTATTATTATTGTTATTGTTATTGTTATTATTATTATTGTTATTATTATTATTATGTTTATTATTACTATTATTATTATTCCTATTATTATTATTTTTATTATTATTATTATTATTATTATTTTTTTTTTTTTTTATTATTAGTATTATTATTATTATTATTATTATTATTATTATTATTATTATTATTATTATTATTATTATTATTATTATTATTATTATTAATTATTATTATTATTATTATTATTATTATTATTATTATTATTATTATTATTATTATTATTATTATTATTATTATTATTATTATTATTATTATTATTATTATTATTATTATTATTATTATTATTATTATTATTATTATTATTATTATTATTATTATTATTATTATATCGTACATATATATATATATATGTAACCATACATATATATATATATATATGATGTCTCACGTTGGCAAACACAGACGCACAGACACATCGCTGGTGATTCACCGAGGGCTCTACTCGACAGGTCTTTGAGGTATGATTGATGTGCAGCAAAGTTGAATATGATTGTTTGAAGCTCACTGATGCCAATTCGGTGCTGAGTCTCAGCTGCGTATTTGCACTGAATGTTCACTCCAGATCTCAACAATCAAAACACCTATATACCCCCCCCCCCCCTCAAACTAACATAGCACCAGACATGGGGTCCCTTGAAGAGGAAACCAATCTTCCAGGTACCCTCCCAGAGGTGCCATGTTAGTGGAAGGGTCCGGGTAAATGCTTCAGCCACGCAATTTAGACTCGCAGGATCGACGAGCGGCAGCTTTACCCGCCCAACGGCTCCGTGCCATACTCTGCCAAACCGATAGTGGAGGCAGGGCAAACCCGAGAGTTGGATAGCCCAAAGATTGTTAAATCAAAATCCGTTTCTTTTGACAGGGCTCCTTAAAAGATCTCCATGTTGAAACCATTTGAAACATGGCTTTGTCCACCAAAATAAAGGGACACCACCATTTACAAGGCAATGTTCAGGTGTATAATATAAGGATCCCTGTTTGATGCACCCCCAAAGTTGTGGCTCTCCTTTTGGTTTCCCTTTTAACCAGCAGCAAAAAAATGTGTGCCCTCAACAATTTTGACACCCATTTTTTTGTTGGCAGATTGACCAGGCAGGATGTGCAAGCCTTTCTTTGTGTTTGTAGCCACGAGAGAATTTGCGGACACGGGTGTTTAGCGCTTGGTCTCCAATGGTTTTGATCAAACTGCAGGTGCTGAACGCATGGCATTCTGCTCATGGGTACTGTCGGCTCAGTCCCTCGCTATCCCGGACCTGCTCAAGACTGACATCAGCATCCTCTCCTGCACTGTGTGGCTTATCCAGGAGATCGGCAGCGGAGAGGCCAACAGACCCTTGCTGCATGATATTTGCATATTTGCAACTGTTGGTTCTGCATTTGTGTGAGTCTTTTGGGATGGTGTTGAGGGCTGCAAAAAGGATAACCACCATTTTGGGGGTCTTGGGGGTCCCCTAAAAAATGACGCATTTTGCACCACGTGGCATCGTTGTCTCTGACCAGTGTTAACATTGCGGATGCTTAGCAGGGGACGTTGCCAGCTGAGTGGTACCAGTTTTGCGTAGCTCACAACTTTTCAATATATATTTTTGGCTGCCAGCACCTGACAAGCTCCTAGTGACATGCCTTGAGACTTGACTGAGGCCTTTTTGCGCTGGTGATGTTCGGCTTTTGCGTCATGGCGGGGGAGCTTGGCGTTTTTGGATGGCCGTGCAAAGGAAGCCGTGAGGTCGTCAAAGAAATTAGCCTGTGAAGTCCTGGATTTACTTTTCAGCCAGCCAAGAACTTCACGGGGTCAGTTTCTTAGCGGCCTTTTCGGTGCTTTTGTGTGTCTTGCTGGCTTTAAAGTGCGAGGGACATGCCTGATGCTCCAAGTTGGGGGCTTTGCAATCTCGCGAGAGAACGCCATGCGCAGCAATCACAGGTGTCCTTTTTGGTTGTTTTGGTAGAAAAATAGATGGCCTCGTTGACCTGGTGGTTGAAAATCTACCAGGGCCATCTATTTCCCCCAAAAGGACACCTATGCGCAGCGAAGAACGTTTTCTTGCCGCGCACCGACCAGTACCAGATGGCCTGGCTTAGGTCCTGACGCTGGCGGATGTGCTGCTTCTGCTTGCTGCTGCTCTAAGGTTGGCGAAGGCCAGATTTCATGGCTTTGGTTTGTTGTAGATATGGCTGTGGTTGTCAAAACCGTTTTGGGATACCATTTTGGTTGGTAGGTGAATTCACCACCCATTTTAGAACGTATTTTAGTGGGGATTGGGATGTTGACTGGGGGTACGGGATTTTGACCCATGGCCATATACCTAGTACGGTCTGCTTTATGGGCAACTGCAAATTGGGCAACACTACATTTGCTGGGCTTTATGTTTGATTTCTCGTGACAGGCCATGCCATCGCATGATGATACTATCAGCATACGTGAATAAGCGACTTTCTGTGACATGTGTCATGAATGACGGTTCATAAGGCAGGAATCCAAGAAGCTATTGTTTATCGCTGCCTGCATTCAAGCACGAGAGACGTTACTTGCTTGTAACATGCCCTTCAATTAGGTCAAGAGGAGCTGTGAGCTTGTGGAGGCTTGCATGTGCCAAAAGAGGCACCACTGCGCACACACACACACAGAGACGCATGCGCGGGCATGTGCAAGTGCACACACACGCGCAGACACCCAGAGAAAAAAACACAGACGCACACAGAGACACACAAACGGACACAGACGGACAGACGCAGATACAGACTCCGTGCACACACAGACACTCGCACTCAGTGACACGCATGCAGATACACAGATACACACATGCGCGCAGACAGAGACACACACACAGACACAGAGGGACACAGACCCACCCAGCCACCGACCCACCCTCACACCCCCATTCTCAACCCGAACCCACACCCACACCCGCACCCACACCAATCCCAACACTTGTCAACACCCATCAACACCCACCAACACGCACCAACAACGCCACCAGCGTCCACCAACACCCACCAACACACCAGCACACACGATCACATACCAACACGCCAATACACACCGGTACCCAATCGCCCCTGATTGCAATGCGTGTGCGTGGCCCAAATGGATGGATAATCCATATGCATAGAGAAGAATCGAGTGCCAACAAGTCGACACAAAGCCGCCGTGGGCATTGACTCTCTCTCTCTCCCTCTCTCCCTCTCTCTCTCTTTGTCTCTGCCGGCAGGACGACACGTCAGCTTCAACTTGCTCATTTTACAGATGGGCCTGGAGGCCAAGAACTGTCTCCAGACAAACTCTGCTTGATCCACATCTTATGTTTCAGGAACTCGCTGAGAGGAATCTCTGGCTGGTGGGAATAAATTGAGTGGACGACCCCAAGGTCGGAGTCTTTCGGCAAGGCTTTCGAAGCATACATGTTTGGAGCAACCTCTTACAGCAGGTGAGGACGCAACACCACAGCGGCTGATTTGAAACTCGTTATAACAAGCAATCGATTCAGCAGGCGGCAGGCGTTGCTAGATGAAGCTTTGGGACCTCTCCAAGATGAAAACCTGCATTTGCGCCAGGTGCTTGAAGCTCCCGGTGCCCCCATGTTTTGCCAACCAAGTTTACGCCGTATCAAGTTGCTGCAAGTAGCAAGTAGTCTATGTTCAATTTGTGGCAAGACATGAAGTTCAGAGGCTTACTGCTTCTTTCCCAAAGTCCAAGACCCTTTTCTACTGACCAGTGCCTGTTGACTTGGGGCTTTGGACTGAGGCTAAGATCTGCCGCAAGCTTGCCATGCTGGATGTGTCCATCATGGGGGTCTACGTTGACACCTCAGTGTTTTGTTGGCGAGCCGCTTGCAGCGGGGGCCACTGGATGTGCAGAGCTGCCAGCGTTTCTGTGTTTACGCACAAAGCTTGAGTGTGGAGTGGGACACATTGATCGAGATATTGACTGTCGGCCACGATGCCGCTGGCGTTGGTAAGAACACAGGGGACGGATGAGGGCGCTTGTCAAGTGAGCCAGCGACATGTAATTGTGGAGCCATTTCACATGTCGCAATTTCAACACCGAGAAGCAAGTAGTAATATTAGGAAGCTTGCGTGTTTTAAATCAACGGAGGGGGGAGCAGTGTCAGGGAGACGGACAGGTGTTGCAGTCGTGCAATCAACCTCGAGAAAAAAACCTGGGCTGCACCAAGGTCATCACTTTTTGCATGGGCATCTACAAGAAGCAAGGCATCGTGGTCTCCACCCGGCCAGGCTCTCCCTGCAAGCGTTTCCGCTGGGATTTCGGCTTGGTTGTTAACGCAAAGGCATTTCGCTTGATTCAAGGATGTTCAGAGTTTGGGGTTTGCACCTGGCTCTTGTCAGAAGAGATCCACCACCACGACCAGGAGCCATCCAGAAAAATGCCTGAGACATCATCACGCCAGTTTGGTGTGTATGTGAAATGCCAGCATCACAAGCAATCATATCAAGTTCCTGCAGACGGAAGTTTCAACATAGGTCAAAATGCAGGGTTCTCAAGTTGAGAAGCACTTGAACTTCTGAATGCAACTTGAACTGCCTTTTGGTGTTGAACTGCGTTTTTTCCGGTAGTTGTAATTATGCAGTTTCTCCATTGGATGTACTAAGAACACGGGCTTGACGTACTTGGCAGGGAGGGGCTTGACCACGCAAACCACCGCCCCCGCGTCCAGGCCTCATTGTCCTGATCCTGGCAGAGGTGGCACATACGCTCATCTACTGGCTGGTTTCTGGCGCGGCATGTGGGATTTGCAAGTCGCTTCTACAAAAGGGATGTCAATGTCTTGATTCTTTTTACCTGGAGTCCGAACCAAGCCGGATCAACTGCAGCATCTTTTGCACATGCGCCAGAAGGACGTAGATTTGCTGAGGAGTAAACATAATTATGTCATTGTTATATATATATGGACTCACGTAGCGGGTATAAAGAGTAAAGCACTTGTCTGCCGCAGCCACGTCAGTTTAAGGTGTGGCGTAGTTGGATGGGGGAGCAGCCGTGCCCACTGTGTGAAGGTCGGTACGGGACCTTCCGGTGGTGCACGGTGTGTAGCTCCCTGGAACAGCTCCGTTTCGCTGTCCTCCGTGGGCTTGAGCGGGAGGACAGCGAGGAGCTTGGGAGGAGAATCAGGGATTTCTCCTCGACCCTCCTGTCTTGGGGCGCTCGGCTCCAGAGGCAGCGGGAGGGTCGCACTTTCGATCAGGTCAAAGCCGGTGGTGCTGGACCTTCTGTGCCCGCTGGGCTAGGGACTCTTAGGCCGGCTGAGCCCGCTGGCCCCCCTCCGGCAGGAGGGGATCTGGAGGGGACGCACTCGGCGTCCTCTCCTGCTACCACCTCCAAGGCCGCTCCGGAGGTGCGAAGAGTTTCCCGCACGCCAGAAAGGCGGAGGAGAAAAGAGAGCAAGAGGAGCCGCAGCTCCAGGAGGAGGAAAAGCCCGGAAAGGGCTAGGCATCGCAGGAGAGAGGCTTCTGCGTCATTTGTGGGAGCGCCCGTGCCTCCCAGGGATCCCCCTCCCCCTGCTCCTAGGCCCCGTTCCCCTGCGGAATTGCCTGAGGAGGTTCCGGAGTTGGGTGCCAGGAGGCGAACGAGGTATCCCTCACTGAGTCAGAGGGTGAGGATAGCCCTGAAGTGGCTGCATCTCCTGTTCCTGAGGAGTCGGGAGTTGGCCGTGATTGGGTTGGGCCCATTCCGGCAGGTAGGAGGCCCCGGGCAGTAGCCCCTTGGAAAGGGGGAAAGAACAAAGGCAAAAAGAAGCGCGAGAGGCAGGCCCGATTTCGGGGCCGTTGAGGGAGGCTGGAGTAATGCCTCCTAAGAATGTGAGGAGGCCCGCAGCAGGTTTGCCGCCGGTGAGGCGACCTGCTGGGATTCTGAGGAGACCGGCTGCTGCTGTGATAGAGAATGGGGAGAACCCTCCTAGGCGCCGTCGCCGTGTGGGAGGAGGAGAAGAACTGGTGCTGGCCGAGCTCGATATGGTCGGCCTGGGGAAGTTGCAGAGGATCTGGCTGGATCCATGCGTTTACTGGATGGAAGAAACTTCTGTTGTGGGAGTAGTCAAGGGTGCCCGCATTGAGGGGTCCAGTGCTTATTTTGACCTCTTGGTTCAGGGGACCCGATCCGGAAGACTCCTGGAGTATGTCTCAGGCACTCCCGAGGGGCGCATTAGGCTGCATGTGTGTCCGCCGGAGTGCGAGCAAGAGCTTTGCGAGGATGGCCTGGCACACGGTCGTGTGTTTCGCGAAGTTCCAGGTGTGCCCACTGAGGCGTGGATGTCGAATGCGTGCAGGGTGGAGCCCGACGAGAATCGTGCTCTTCGTGAAGAAGCAGAGAAGCTAAGAAATGCAGGAGCGGCGGGAGCTCATGCTCCTGATGAGAACTCCTATGAGCCCGAGGTGGAGGCGGATCGGAAGAAAAGGAAGGAGGCGAAGGAGAAGAGAGGAAAGAAAAAGAAGAAGAGGGTTGTGCTTGAAGGTAAGAAGGCGTTGAAAGATGTGGTGGGGTCCACGGGATTGGACCCGGACCCTGAGGTGAGGAAAATCTTGTTGAAGCGAGCATCCCGGGCAGTAAGGAAGAAGAGGAAGAGGTCAGATGATAGCTCGGGGAGGGCCTCATCGTCCTCGAAGTCTGAAGAGGAGCCTGAGGAGCTGTTCGGATGCAGCGCGAGGCCCGAAGAGGTGGGCCGCCGCTTCCCAGGCGTGTTGGCGGCTGAAGGAATCAGGGAGATGCGAGCCAGCCTCCTGAAGAACACGGGGCAGTTGTGGGATTTGGAGGATGGCCCACTTCCTCCTCTGAGCACCATGTACTTCAGGCAGACCTTAATGTCGAAGATGGCACCTCCGATGGCTCGGGAGACCCACACCCTGTGCTACGGGTTGGATGTCCTGTTGCAAGGCCGGGCTGCAGAGCTAGGCGACCTTTTGGTGCAAAGGATCAAGAGCCTGGAAGGCGTTGCTGCTGGTCTTCACTATTCGGTGATGCAGAAGATGGAGCTCCTGCCCATGGATGCATCCCGTGTGGCGCGCTATACCGAGGTGCATGATGCGGCTAGGGTAGCACGTGATGAGGCCCGAGCTTTGTCTGCTGGCTCCCGGGCACAAGGAAGAGGAGGTTCAGATTCCGGTTGGGTGCCGTATGGCAGAGATGAGAAAGGTGGTGGAAAAGGAAAAGGTGAGAAGGGGAAGGATAAGGGTCGTGCAAAAGATTGGCCCAGGAAGAAGGAGGAGAAGAAGTGATGAAGAGGAGGCATTCGGGAGAGGGCTCCGCGTTGGAGATCTCTCCTGGGGGAGCCGGGGAGGCGGTCGACCGTGAAGGTCCCCCTCCTGGGCGCCCTCTGGCCGTGCAAGAGCGGCTGAACGCTATCAAGCTGAGGCTCCCGGGGTTAACCTTAGGCGAGGCTGGTGGATGCTTGGTGGATTTGCTAGATCTTTTCCATGTTGCAATGTTGCACTGCAAGTCCCAGCCCATGGAAGGGAAATCCATATTTCCTCTTCCCCTAGCAATCCCTTCCGAGCTTTCACCCGCCAAACATGCGCTGCTGTCCGCAGTGTGCCGGAGTCTCAACTCCCTTGCGGGATGCACAGACCCGCAAGGCCGGTCATCGCACGCTGGACGCATGGCCGTGAAGCAACTCGCGGCGGCCGTTGAGGTTTGTGAGAGTTGGGTTGAGGTTTTTCAAGATGTGAACTTTTCGGACTTCCTGAGGGTCAAAGGCATTGACTACAAGGGAGATGAGGTGAAACTGGCTGTCAACCTTAGTTGGGAGTGCCTTGCCCCTGCTCTCCCGGATGAAGTAGGGAAACTCAACCTGGCAGAGCTTTGCACCCTTGGAACCCGCTTTTACGTGGACCATTTCGAGGACTTCTTGGTTCCTTCAAATGAGATGAGTCTAGGCAAGCCTCCCCGAGTTTTTGCCGATGCCGAAGAGTGGCCTGCTATTTGCCAAGGCTTGATGGATAAAGGGATCTGCGAGGTGGTGCCTGTGGATGAGCTGTTTCACATTCAAGGTCAACCCCTCCTGAGTGGCATGTTCGGAGTTGGAAAAGGCGAGTTTGTGAACGGGAAGGAGACACTCCGGTTGATCATGAACTTGATCCCTTTGAATAGAATCTGCCGAAGTGTTTCCGGTGACGTGGGTACGTTGCCCCAAATTTCGGGGATGTCCGCCTTCGTGTTGGAGGGGTCCGAAGTGGCCCTCCTGTCGTCTGAGGACATCAGATGCTTTTTCTATCTTTTCCAGGTTCCCCCCGCGTGGAAAAGATTCCTGGGGTTCAACAAGGCTGTCCCAGAGGACCTCGTTCCCTCCTCCCTTACTGGGAGGAAGTGCGTTCTTGCCGCCAAGGTCCTCCCTATGGGGTTCCTTAACAGTGTTAGCATCGCCCAGCATGTGCACCGTAACGTGATTAGGAGCGTGGACCCCCTCCTTTTGACGGGAGATCAAGAGATCCGCAAAGACAAGAGTTTCCCTGCGAGCTCCCGCCTTTTTAGGATCTACCTCGACAACTTCGATTTCATCCAGAAAGTGGACTCCCAGTTGGCCTTCAGGCTGGAGGGGAGGGAGAGCCCGGAACAGGAGGCTGTCAGGAAGGCCTACGAGTCGGCCTGTCTGCCTCGGCATCCCAAGAAAAGTGTGGTTAGTGCTGAAAGGGCAGAGGTGCAGGGCGCTGTCGTCAGAGGCAAAGAAGGAGTGGCTTATCCCCGCCCGGAGAAAGTACTTAAGTACATGGGTCTAGCGGTGGAGCTGATTGTGTGGGGCCGAGCTGGCCTCAAGCATCTGCAAGTGGTCGCAGGAGGGCTGGTGTACATTGCTATGTTCAGGCGCCCGCTGTTTTGTGCCCTCAATTGCGTGTGGCGTCACATTGAGGTTCTGAAGCAGGGAGGTGGCAAGCCTCAGCTTCTACCTCCTGCCGTGGTGGCCGAGCTGGTGCGTTTCTTGTGTTTGGTCCCTCTGGCCCAACTGGACTTCCGAGGGGAGTTGGTGGGAGATGTCACTGCAAGTGATGCGTCCACCACTGGTGGGGGTATCTGCGTCACGGAAGGCCTCACGAGTTATGGGGTTCATGCCTCCCAGGCCAGTATCCGGGGGGAATGGCCTGAACCCCATGATATGTGTCAGGTGTTGACTGTAGGCCTTTTTGATGGCCTTGGAGCTCTTCGCTTGGCTTGTGATGCGCTTGGCTTGCCTATGTGTGGGCACATTTCCGTTGAATCACATGCCCCGGCCCGCAGGGTTGTCGAAAGTTTCTTCCCAGGTACCGTGATGTGGGATGATGTCCGCACTGTAACTGAAGAAGTCGTTCTGCAGTGGTCAACCCAGTTCTCCTCGGCAGGAGTGGTGCTCATAGGAGCCGGACCCCCTTGCCAGGGGGTCTCCAAGCTGAACGCGGACAAGAAGGGTGCTTTGAAAGATGCACGAAGCTGCCTCTTTGGAGGTGCCCCCTGGTGCAGGTGAAGTTCCTCATGGAAAGTGTTGCATCCATGGACGACTGTGACCGGCATCACATGAGTGAGGCCATAGGATTTGGGCCCTGGCATGTTGATAGTGGTCAGGTCAGTCCTTGCCGGCGTCCTAGGCTGTACTGGGTCGATTGGGAGCTGGGTGGTGGCGAAGGAGTTTCAAAGCCGAGACCGCCTGGGGCTCCTGGCAAAGATGTCGGCCTGGTAAGCTTAAGCGCTACTGTGGACTGGAAAGACTTTTTAAAGGGAGGTTGGAGGCCGCCTCCGAGTGGAGTGTTTCCTACCTTCACCACTAGCCGGCCTTCCCCCACGCCTGGCCGCAAGCCTGCTGGGTTAGGAACATGCCAGCCACATGAGCAGTCCCGGTGGGAAGCTGACCGTCACAGATTTCCGCCGTACCAGTACAAGGACAAGTTTTGTGTGTGGAACAAGCAGGGCGACATCCGTCCTCCTGACATCACAGAACGGGAGGTGGCCATGGGGTTCCCTTTGGGGTACACCAAGGCCTGCATGCCCAAGTCGCAACATGGCAACATCCAGTTCGAGGATTGTCGGCTTAGTCTAGTGGGCAATTCGTGGAACCTCTTCGTGATCACCTGGTTGGTATACTGGCTGTTCTTCCCGTTGGGACTGTGTGCACCGCGGTCTTTGCAGGACATCGTGAAGAGCCTCACGCCCGGATGGTCTCCTACTTTCCAGGCAGTACTACTGCGGCCCCCTTTGAGGGCTGTCAGGGGCACCAAAGTTGATGCATCGTTGCAACTCGTAAAGAAGTTCCTTGGGGTCATTTCTATAAAAGGGGAAGATCTGCTGCTTCAGGCTTCTACCGATGTCCATGTCCGGTTCCACAGGTTGCGAGCATCTATCCCCAGCAGATTGTGGCGGTGGAAAACTGTGGCGGGATGGACTTGGAAATCACATACGGACCACATCAACGTTTTGGAATTGCGCGCCATCCTGAGCTCGGTCAAGTGGCGCCTCGAGCAGCGTGGACAGATGCACAAGAGGTGGATCCATCTCACTGACTCTCTGGTTTGCCTGCACAGCCTTTGTCGTGGCCGCACGTCGAGCCGCAAACTTCGTAGAACCCTAACCCGAATCAATTGCTTACTCCTCGCGACACGCTCCCAGCCCCTATGGGGGTATGTGCACACGCACCAAAATCCGGCCGATAGGCCAAGCAGGAGGGGTGTCCGCCGCAAATGGTTAAAGCAATGAAGCACGTTGAAGGGAGGTCGCAACGGGAGCGAGCAAAGATTCGGAAAGATTTGGGTTCACTCAAAAGTTTGAGTGTGCAGCCAGCTACGCGTACCAGATATGAGAAAGCCCGGACGCGTTTTTTAAAACATTTGCAAGATGCAGGGATCGCAATTCCAAAGCAGAAACTTTTAATGGATGAGTTGGGTCTCCGATTATATCGAGACTCTGTGGTCCCAAGGAGAAGGCAGGGCTTTGGCTTCGGATACCCTAGCCGGCCTGCAAGATTTGGACCCCAGCCTCCGCCACCAAATGCCCCAAGCATGGCGCCTCATGAAGGCGTGGAACAGCAATGAGATACCAAACAGAGCTCCTCCGTTCCCAGAGAGCCTTTTAAAGGCCATGGTGGGCCGATGTCTGTTCAAGGAACACCACAGCATGGCCCTTTCTCTGCTTGTGGGATTTTATGGCTTGCTACGCACTGGAGAGTTGCTTAGCATTCAAGCTCGTCACGTTTCAGTGAGTGCGGATCACAAAACCGCGGTTATTTCGCTAGGTTGGACCAAGGGAGGCAAACGTCAGGGAGCTGCCGAAAGCTGCACAATCACCGTATGGGATGTGGTGCGGCGTCTTGAACAGTGGGTACTTTCAGTGCCCGGTGGCTCCTATATGTGCGCCTCCCCGTCTACCTGGCGAAAAACTTTTAATCAGCTCCTGGCTGATATTCGAGTGACTGAGGTTGAGTTTCGGCCGTACAGCCTGCGCAGGGGTGGTGCAACCTTTTGGTTCCAACGTCATGGCCAATTTGACAGGTTGTTGGTCCAAGGTAGGTGGCAGGCAGCGAAGACTGCCCGCATTTACCTAAACGAAGGGCTGGCAATGTTAGCCGAGATGAGGTTCTCTCAATCCCAACTGAGTGCTTGGGTTCGATTATACCAAAACGCACTTAGAAGTGCGCTGCCGAGGCTCGAGCGAGCGTCTAGACGCAGTACAGGGGGACGTGGAAAGAGGTCGAAAAGAGGGAAAAAGGGGTGGTGGCTAGGCTGTTCTGGAGTTTCTTTTTCAAACGGCCTCGAAATGGCACCTGAGCGCCCTAGTTTCTTCCGGCTTGGCGGAAGAGCTAGGGGGGGTGCGGGGGGGGATTTCCTCTTTCTTCGGCTTGGCGGGAAAGGGAAATCCTGAGGCCCCCAGTTTGTCAAGAAACGGGCAAGGGGCCCTGGGCTAGTTAGCCACCACTAAGAGGACGTAACTTTTTATTTATGACAAAGTTGGACTTGCTGTGCGCAGAAAAAGTGCTGCTTACTCTTTGGACTCACGTAGCGGGTATAAAGAGTAAAGCACTTGTCTGCCGCAGCCACGTCAGTTTAAGGTCCCGCCCGCCCTTCCCACGAAAAGAGGGAAAAAGGGGTGGTGGCTAGGCTGTTCTGGAGTTTCTTTTTCAAACGGCCTCGAAATGGCACCTGAGCGCCCTAGTTTCTTCCGGCTTGGCGGAAGAGCTAGGGGGGGTGCGGGGGGGGATTTCCTCTTTCTTGCGGGAAAGGGAAATCCTGAGGCCCCCAGTTTGTCAAGAAACGGGCAAGGGGCCCTGGGCTAGTTAGCCACCACCAACTATTTAGACTTGCTGACTGTTACTCTTTCCAAGTGCTTCTTACTACTTCTTTTAAAGCTTCTTATAAAGCTTCTAAACTCTTTCTACTAATTTCTCTTTCCAAGTAAACCCTAAACCTTAAAGCTTCTTATAAAGCTTCTTATAAAGTTCCTTATAAAGCTTCTTATAAAGCTTCTTATAAAGCTTCTTACAAATAAAGCTTCTTATAAAGCTTCTTATATAAAGCTTCTTATAAAGCTTCTTATAAAGCTTCTTATAAAGCTTCTTATAAAGCTTCTTATAAAGCTTCTTATAAAGCTCCTTATAAAGCTTCTTATAAAGCTTCTTATAAAGCTTCTTATAAAGCTTCTTATAAAGCTCCTTATAAAGCTTCTTATAAAGCTTCTTATAAAGGAAGCTTCTTATAAAGCTTCTTATAAAGCTTCTTTTAAATGTGTATATATAGTATTCACCTGTTGCATTTCGTGGCAAACCATTCAACTCGACTACAGGACTTTGAGTCATTCCTCAGGCAAAGATGCTTAGCGTGAAGCTTGAGCAACTTACAATACCTTTGCACCCGAGGGTTATCCTTTGAGCTCCCCGACTCCTAATCTGCACCACCTTGGCCCGAGATGCAGGCGCTATGGAGGCTCAAGTCGCGCAGGAGGAGCAAACCTACGCTGCTTGGCTGGTGATATGTGCTGTCTCTATGCAGAGCCTTCTCAGTTAGTGGAAGGCTGCTTAAACAGCGGGTGTCGCCGGTTGTCTCGTTTCTAGAGCCACGATCAATCGTTCCCTTGATCTGAGCAGCGCATAGTTATTCAAATTGTGCCCAGGTTAGCCCAACTGAGTAAGGCGTGTCCACAAGCTGCGAGTGCTACTTGACCCTCTGAATCAAGTTGCCGAGTACTTCTTCCAGTTTCCAAATCAGAAGCATCAAGTTGCTGACACAGCTCGGCAAGCTCTGAGAGCAACTAGGTAAGCACTCGCGAAGCACTTAGTAATTGATACTTAGCAAGCACTCGGTAAGCACTCGGCGCAGCAATGGTTCCTTGCGATTTGGCAATGCACTTGTTTGGGCAGCCAACTCCTCTTCAGCTGCACTACCAAGCAACATGCAGAAATCCTGCTGACATCCGAAAGAGTCTGACAGGGTGGGGGCCACCCGCTGTGCTTGCATATGAGTCACTTGCAATATGATTGTGCCTGCTGTTGATTTGGGGAAAGAGTAGGGGGCAAGCTTGCCCCCTGCACAACCCAGAGCTACAACCAAAGTTTCCCCATTTCGTCCATCCACAGTTTGGTCTCCCAGGAGTACAAAATGGCCATGGCGGAGGAGGGCGAGGAAGTTGCCGCCGCAGAAGCACCGCAGAAGTTGGAGCTCTCCTGCGGCGGCTTGAAGAGGTTGGCAGCTCAGACACTTCTATTTGCTTAAGACTATTTGTTTCTTTTCCCTTGTTGGTTTTAAAAGGAATTTATCACTACTGGACTTATATATTTTTTTCCAGGGGTCTTGAGCAAATAGAAGGAAAGCAGAACGCCGATCTGGGGCTGAGGTGTCGCAACGGGGGGCCTCTCTTCCCTCTCCGCCCCCGGATTTGTGGAGGTTCCGCGAAATCCCGATTCACACCAACCATGAAAAAGGGGTGCGCTAAGGCAATCTAAGGCACATATATAAAACACATCAGTGGGTGGAAGATCCACGTCACGGGGCGCAGGTGGAACCTTTCAACACTGAACAATGGGACAGCCACTGATTCTTCCAGATCCCCCCCCAAAGCCCGCCCCGAACATCCGGTTTCCAATAATGTTGAACTTGCTGGCTTGTTATTGCTGCAAATTGTGTCGACGCATGCAAATTCGTTGGGTCTTCCAAGAGGGCGCTGGTTTTGTTTTTTCCTTGACGACAGTTTGTCCAAGTGAGTCCAGACAAAACCAACCAATCGGGGTCCTAAGTTATATGAGCTCATGTCCGATTTGCCTTTCAATGGACATGCATGGCTAACGTCCCAACGTGATTCCCGTCAAGTCTGCGTAGCCGGTGATACCTCATTTGCTGTATTGGCAACCTATCATCTTGATTTTTTTCTGCGATTTGTCCAGAGCAGACCTTCGAACTTGCCATCTTCCGTGATTGCGTTTATGCTTGATCATGGTCCAGAAGGTCAACCAGCCTTTTGTTCGCTGCCCGTGTGAAGACCACTGGCAGCAGGGCAGCACCCTCTTATTTGTGCCGCTTCTACAAGCTTCTGCGTTCTGGCCAGTCAGGTCCATTCCTTCTGGAACGCATTTGCTTGGTTTGCTCCTGTGACTGCCCAGGGCGGACAAGAGAGTTTGAGTCCTGTGAGATCTTATTCGCTGTTCGTGCTGGTTTCGCCCGGCTGAGGTTCTTTACCTGCTCCCGGCTAGGCTCGAGCTGTGCTGAGAAACCTGGCCTTCCAGTGACGTGACGGCTCCTGTGGCTCGGGCTCGTGGTAGCGGACTGGACTCTTCCGGGCTTGGTGCCCTTGTCGATCGAGAGGTTTCACTGGAACTGTGTGAAAATCTCAAGCAACGGTTGACGTGGCCCCGGAAGTTTCTGGCTTTGGACTTTGGTCGGACATTCTTGCTTTTCCTGGGCCCATGCGCTGAAGAGTGCGTGGGTGTGCATGGGTCCCGCATACCATTGACCTCTCAAAGAGTCTTGATGGTTGCATTGCTCGATGGAAGCCTTGCTTTTGATGTATGTTACGCACATTCACCCCAATGCACAGCTGGTTCACGGCAGCCAGACTATGCTTTCAAGCTTGTGAATGCATTTGAGGCACTCTTTCTATCACCCCAATTCAGCCGAACCCTTTGCATCACAGCAATGCCTTGTGGGCAGGGTGGCTGGGGAATTACACTTAGAGCTCATTTGCCGCCTCATGTTTGCGCTATGCGGCCTTAGGTGGCTGTGACTTGGCAGTCGCTACACTTCAGCCACTTGACTCTAGAGGGCTCGAATTGCTGTTGGAAGAGGGAAGCTGCTTACAAATACCATCTTAGGACCTTAGCATATATAAACATATGTGTAGATGTCGTACATGTATTGTTCATTCCAAGTTGCATCGTAAGCTGCTTATTTTCACAAAATGGGCTCGATTCTTGAAGGAATCGCTTGTAGTTGATTGGCGGCCAAGCGGGTGGCATGGTTGAAAGGATACCACCAAGCTATTAGTGCCACCGTCGGTTGACGCCATTTCCCATAGAGAAGGACTGCCCTTGGCGAAGCTAGCAGCTGTTGAGGACCTACCCAATACACCCTCAGCTTGCTCCCTTGGTGGTGGCCAAACCCCATGCCTGTGGGGTGTTGCTTGCATAGCACCACTCTTCCTTGCATATGTTTCGTGTTTTTTGGTTCTGTTCATAGTGGGCCGCGGAAAAAACAAAACAAAAACAATATGTTTTTGCCATGGCAAGGTGTTTTTTCCTCCGAAGATGAGGTTTGTCTGTCTTTGCTTGACGCCCCCGTCCAGTCGGCTCCGGACAGCGCTCGTGTTGTTGTTTTTTCGCGAGCGCTAATTGAGCCGGCCGCACGGTTGCGGACATGCCGCTGCCCCGGGTGGTTCTGGCAGCAGGGCATCCCAGCCATTTCGCCATTTCCGGCTGGGGGTGGGAAGGGAAGATGTGGGTATGGGTCAAAATTAAACCACCATGGGACCACAGGTTTAATCCATGTTCACATTTACCAGGGTTCCCATTTTGGCTACATATTTTTGTCCCACTGCCATGTCTGGAGATCGGGATGTTCTTTGCTTCGGAGTTTTCCGAAATTCTGTCGACTACGGCTCTGCCTGGGGTCACAACGCCTTTTGGCACACACACACACACAGCACAGCCCATTGGATTAGCCTTAGAGAAGCTGCTTTTGCATGTTCGTCAAGGAGCCATAACATGCATGTGTTGCATCGGATATAGACCACCTGCAAGATGCTTGCACGTGCAAGCATGTGCAAGCTTGAGACCGAGAGTTCCGACACGCTGTAGGGGGGCTGAACGAGTTGTGAGGACATTCGCTCCTGAACCGTTTGATGACTGTTGCTTCGTTTTTTTCATTGATGCGTTGCTACCCCATGCCCCTTCCCGCCAACGTTGACGTGTTGTCAGGCCTTGCCACAAGAAGACCTTGGTCCCAGTCAAACCGGAGCATCCACTTCATTGGGTTTGCTTAACCTGATCGTTCCCTTTAAAAACCAGCCGTTTTCCCTGTTTTTTTGTTTTTCCGGAGGTTTGCTAGAAAGGAGGATCCCTGGAAAGCATGGAAATGCAAGCTACCCCTAGAATTGAGATTGCTCGCTCTCGTCCCATTCGAGGATTTGCCCCCGGCCGAGAAGGAGAGGATGCTCTCCTTCCTGGTGGCCAACAAGGCTCTGCCTTCGAGAGACTTTGCCGTATCCACCAGAGGTTAAAGCAGCACCTGGCGCATGGATGGCAATGGTAGACCGTAGATGCATATGACAAGTATGGAAGGTCAGTGCATCGTCTGTACACGCGGAATTCGGATCGTCTGTACACGCGGGACCGGATCGTCTCTGCACGCGGGCCTTTCTTGCCCCGGATCGTTTGTACACGCAGTGCTTACTGCTATGCACAAGAAGGGACAGGGGCGTTGACAGCTGCATGTTTCCTTGCCTTTCTGTCGTATGAACATAGGAAATGTCGTGTTCCGTTGTCTCCTGTGCGGTTTACCTCTGTCAGCCGCTCTCAATTTTGCTCGGGGTAAAGAATGTGGTGTATATGTTCTTGCATTAAAGGTTTGACAAGTCTCTTGCACTTCGTGTGTAAATCAGGGGGACAGACTTTCGCCCGGCTTCGCTTGGTCTAAGGGCGTGCTTATTAGGTGGGAGGCGTGGGTGCAGTGCTGGGCGTGCGCGCGCGAGCAGGTGTCACCCCAAGCCCACCCCCACCCCCGCCCCACCCCCACCCCACCCCACCCTCATCTGCTGCACGTCAGCGGGTGCGCTTACTAGGTGGCAGGCATCTGTGCAGCGTGGCTACTAGGTGGTAGGCGTGGATGCAGTGCTGGGCGGGCGCGCGTGAGCGGCGGCCCCACCCCACCCCACCCCAACCCCCCCACCCCCGCCCACCCCTCCCCAAGACCCCACCCCGTCTAGGTAGCAGGCATGCACGCAGTGCTGGGCGGGTGCACGTGAGCGGGTGCGCTTTTTAGGTGGGAGGCGTGAATGCAGTGCTGCGCGAGCGCGCGTGAGCAGGTGCCCCACCCCGGACCCAACCCCGACCCCCACCCCCACCCCCACCCCACCCCCCCTCCCCAACACCCCACCCCATCTGTTACGCGTGAGCGGGTGCGCTTGCTAGGTGGCAGGCATGTGCGCAGTGCTGGGCGGGCGTGTGTGAGCGGGTGTGCCCCACCCCACCCCAACCTCCCCAAAGCCTGACCCCAGCCCAGCCCACCCTGAGCAGGCGCTCATTAAGGCGGCAGGCATGTGTTGCACGTGAGTGGGCGTGCTTATCAGGTGGCAGGCATGCGTGCAGCGCTGGGCGGGCGCGCGTGAGCGGGTGTGCTTATTAGGTGGTAAGCGTGGATGCAGCGCGTGAGCGGGTGTGCCCCACCCCGCCCCGCCCCGGCCCCCACCCCCGCCCCACCCTTCCCCAATACCGCACCCATTGCACGTGAGCGGGTATGCTTATTAGGTGGCAGGCATGTGCTTACCATTCCCCCGCCTCCCCACCCACCCCCACTTGAGCGGGTGTGCTTACCATTCCCCCCTCCCCCCCACCACCCCCCCCCCCCCACAGTGCTGAGCGGGCGCACTTGAGCGGGTGTGCTTACCAATCCCCCCCCCCCACCCCCCCACCCTGCCAAAAGTGTGTGTGTGTACAGATGAGCCAGATGACAGAAACCTTGTGTGCGCAGATGATCCAGAGTGCATGGCGCAATAAGTGAGGAAAGCCTGTGTGTACAGATGATCCAGACTTGTGTGCGCAGATGATCCCCTGCCCAGTATGGAATGGGGGAGGGGGGGGGGGGGGGAAATTTGGACCTGCTTTTGCTACCCACGCGGTGTTCCTTATTCCGTTGGGCGCAGATTGACAGCAGTATCGTAGTAATTGGACTGTGTGAAACGTCTTGCACATTGCGAACAATCTTTCACTTAGCCGCTTGGTGCGACTCATGTAGGTTACAGTGATGGCCGTGATTGGTGCAACAAAGCCATGTTGCACTTACGAGGAAGTCGCGCCTGCCACTGGCAGCTCTAAGCCTTCTTCCATACTGTGGATGGACGAAATCCTGCACCTGCGTTTCTGATTCGATTTCCCTGCAAAAACCAACAAACGGTATGACCTCAACCATAATTTGAAGTGGTGCGAAATGGATTGCGCAAGGTGGACTTCAAGCCCGACCTCTCTGGCAAGTTCACCGCTGTGGTGAAGGTGGTCAAGGAGACTCCTGTCAAGGACAGGGAGCTGAGTCGCGCGCGCAAGGCGTTAGCTCGGAAAAGTAGAAGCCGATGTGAGAACGCAGAGGAACGAGCCAGCCGGACATGCTAGTAGCAACATAAATGGGTGTTTTTCTGATGTGGTGTGCCATGTAGTGTTGCAAATGGGCAATGATCTTGACGTTGTGGGACAAGCGGTGTGCCATGCGGGTGGACCAAGATCATGGGATATGGGGTAAGCTTCCCGGCGGGCCGTACAAAGATCAGGGGTCCACCATTTCAGATGTTGTGACCATCGGCTTCTGCATGTCAGCATCCTTGGGCTGCTAGCGGGAGTTCGAATTACTTCGTCATGAACCTGACCACACGTGTCAACTAGTGTGCTTTTTAACCCTCGCTGTGCACATACATGGAGGCTGACGTACTGAAGTGCCCATCCCACATGCCTCCCGCTGAGTCAAGCCCAACAATTGTAAGCCTTGCACGCATGCGTGGGTCACTTGGCTGTGGGTCAAAACCCTGTACCCCTGGTGAACATCAATATTGGTGGCAAATGGATGAACAAATCCCACCCCACAATGGCTCGCCATAGGTTATGCCCCGTGGCCACTTGCTTGTTGATTCACCTCGAGACAGACAGAAAGCACCCAGACCGGTGATGCGCTGAGCCTCAGGAAGGGAGGCCAAATCCTCCCCGCCAGGCGAGGGCCGAGCTTGGATCGAGTCATGGGATGCAAAGCTTGGAGTTCGAGACCTTTGACTATGAATTTCCAAGAGACCAAGCAGCCATAGCTCTCATGGCACGGGTTGTGCTTGAGGAGCCTTGTGGTTAGACCATGTAACAATGCTTTTATTGTTTCATGTTGGGCCTGAGGGCATGGCTGGCAGTCTGGGACGTTCATTGTTCGAACCCCTGCAACCTCTCCCGGACTCCCCGGCTGCTTAATGCCTGACCTCCGTCCCTGGTCATCACCGCCTTGCATTTGAGCCAGTTTCACATGGCTTGCTCGCGAGCTGGGTAGAGCCAAGTTAGGAAACTCAAAGTTTTTTGTGTTCGGCTTTTTGCAAAGGCCAATTGCTGCCTTGGGTGAAGTTTGATGAGCTGAGCGCATGGCTTGGAGTAACGCATGAAGTTCTGCGGCAATTCTACCACCACCTGCAGATCGACGGAACGAACAGATATCCAACTTCCAACCCAAGATGAGAAAGAAGTTCCATACAGGTTGGTTTGCAGGACTGCTTCTTTTTCAGGATGAGCCGACTATCTTTGTCAAAAAGTACTAAAGCCACGACAAAAGCAACAAGGTAATATGCGGCAACTTAGATCGAGATGCCGGCATCGTACATCGTTAGACACGACAGGCAGCGCTTGGCCAAATGTAAGGATTTAGAGCTTCTTCGAATGCTGTTCAGGGAAGGGCTGGCTTTGGGGCCCTTCGGTCAAGATCAATGGAATGAATCGTATAATTTGATCTTTTCGCTTATACATCTTATATCAGTTTTATTTGATAGAGTCGCATCTCGCACTTCTTTTCGCGGGTCCCGTGATTCACATGTGAAGGTGACCACCTCTTCCAAGCGGCGAGTGCCGGAGAAGGTGAAATTGGATCCCGCCAAGATGGCTGGCTGCCGGGCGCCCCACCACAGCGACATCCATCTCGCTGTGGGTCAAAACCGTTTTGGGATCCCATTTTGGTTGGTAGGTGAATTCACCACCCATTTTATAACCTATTTTAGTGGGGACTGGGATGTTCACTGGGGGCTAACCGGGATTTTGACCCATGGCCATTTGGATTAAGTTGGTGTGTTGGAGGAATCCAGATGAAGTCAGAGTTGACACGTACCCAACGAAGAGTTTCTTGAAAGGGAATGAACGCATTCCGTGCCAGTCAGCCCGTTTTTTTGCATGAAGCAGCCTGGCAAATGCCTTTCTCCCGACCTCAGCAATGTTTGCATTGCCATGGCTTGCTGGTGCTCAGCAGGCCTGACAAAACAAAAAGCAAACACATCCATCCGATTTGGTTTCCTTTCAGGGGAATCCATGGGTTCATTCCATTTATCATTCCCTAGCTGTCGCACCAGCAAGATGATGCTGTTGTATTGGTGACATATGCCTGTCAGTTTTCGTTTGCGGGTGTTGCTGAAATCGCCACGCTGGCCACGACGCGTCCGCGCGTCCTGGACTGCATGGCTGACTGAGGGGAGCAAAGCGCCAGCAGCAGTGCCAGCACCTCAGCGCGGGAGGACGGGAGCAAGTTGCACTCAGTTTGGTAAAGTTGCCTTGGTGCATTTTGCTTGGACGTTAGGAAATCAACTTTCTACCAACCAATGGGTTTTCCATTAAACCAAATGTCAAACTTTTAGCGCAGCAGATTTCGCCGAGCTAAGGTTTCAATTGCCATTTGCCCTCTGAAACGGGATCTTAACCGATCCAGACGGGGATTTGGATCGCTTCCTATGGCAATTGGCTGGGCTGAAATTTGATCCTTAGTCCTTTGGGTTACGCAAGGAACCGGGCTCCTTTAGTGGCTTCCCTAGAGGGATTCTGGAAAACCGGATCCAACCGAGATTGAATCGTCAACGTTGAAGATTTGGCTGTGGGTCAAAATTAAACCAGCAGGATATGGACCGCAGGTTCTAGTCCATGTTTCCTTTTACCAGGGTTCTATTTCGGGTGCCTAGTCTTGACCCACAGCCATTTGGCTGTGGTCACAAATAGTTGGTACCCCAAAATGGAACTTGCCGGATCGGTAAATGGAAACATGGACGATTCAAGCGGCCCATATCCTTGACTAATTTTCACCCATTCCCATGTGACACTCGCATTTTGTCGAGTGCAAACTCGAGAGGACAATGGCCACAAGCCGAACCTCACCGCCATTCAGACGGAGATCCGGAAAAGGCACAGATCAGCGGACTGCACGGGTTCCAACCCCCCATTAAAAGAATGGTTGTCCCAATTTGGCTGATGAACATCCTTAGGTAAATGATGGCAGTTATATTGACCCCCATTGTTTGAGTGGTGGTTTGAGCCCCAGGGTGAAGCTGACACAAACACGCAAAGCTGAGCACCCACACAGAGACTGAGCCGAGAGCCAACCACACACACACACACTGCATGGTGTATGTATTTACTTACTTTCATGGCTACTTTGATACCCACCTTCAGCCCTCTTACCTACTCGCTTCTTTTCTGGCTTTCTCAATCTCTTTCCCATCCACAAACACACATTCACATTGTACACATGATATGTACATATACACTAATACACTGACACACACACACACACTAACACACACTAACACACACTAACACACACTAACACACACACTAACACACACACTAACACACACACACTAACACACACACACTAACACACACACTAACACACACACTAACACACACACTAACACACACACTAACACACACACACACACACACACACACACACACACACACACACACACACACACACACACACACACACACACACACACACACACACACACACACACACACACACACACACACACACACACACACACACACACACACACACACACACACACACACACACACACACACACACACACACACATAAACTCAGATGGAAGTGCCTAATCTTTCATTACAACTGATGGTCTCGAGTACAACCTGTGAGTCTCAGTGGGTGTGTGTGGCCCTCCAGCCACAAACTCAGCCCCAAAGGTGTCGAAAACGTTACAGGGTTCAACGTGAAGCACACACAGCGGCAAAGAAGCGGCCAACTGGACATTCACCAACATCACTTCACAAAAGCAGGTACACACGGGTGATCACTCCGTGCATCCACCATCAAGCATAGCTTCGTTGGCCAGCGTTGGCTTGATGGCCGCTGGCCCCCTGCTGAGAAACCGAAAGGGTGGTGACAGGGCATTCTGTCACTCCGCACACACACGCCCCTCAATGAGGGGCGAGGAGTCTCCTTTTCCGCAGGAAGATCACATGCTCAACCCCGTGTCCCTATCGTTGACCAAAAAATCCACCGCGGCGCGGGGAACGAGAAACAGCCCTAAACCGCTCAGAAGACGGGAACGAGAGATCACCACGTTGAGCATTACGAGTGTCGCCATAGAGGACTGAAGCGAGTTGTGAAGTAGTCGAGCGATCACCATGAGAAAACGGAGTAGCATAGGTGAACGTCTCCTCAACTGGAATGGCATCGGAATTCCGAACTTCACCAAGAGATTGATCATGCGAATGATGAGTTGTGAAGGACTCCATTCGAGACAGAATGCGCTGGTATCCCTGATGCTGCCAGTCGCGGATGGTCCATGCCTGACCGTGCTCACCAGTGCGCCCATTGGGATCAGTCACCCACTGCCATTCCCGAAAAGAATTGTCTGGTATATCAGGTACAGTTTCTCCGTGGTGCCATCGCTGAGGCTGTCCTGCTGTGTAGATCCGCACCCACTCCTGATCCTGCCAGACCGAGTATTCGAGCCATGGGTGCTGCTTCGAATCCTCGATGTCCATGTCGAAGTAAGAGGCAAGGCGTATCGCGGGCTCCGATCCAGCTGATAGAGGAACAGGCACCATGCACAACCATGTACAAGCAACAACCAAGCAAGGTAATGCAAGTGTGAAAACCACCCTTATTTTGTACGCTACCCCACTCGCGCGCGTCTAGTCCTCATTTAGCTCGAAGATAGGTCTCGCCTTGGCTTTGCAGCTGTCGGAAGGATTAACAGGCCGGTATGGTTCGGAGACCCCAACCGTCTCCGATGGTGTGATTCCACGTGATGCACGAACAGGTTGATGAAGTTGGGAAGCGTGACGTGCGCGAGCTGTCAGTTGTTGAGAAATCCCCACTTGGAGACGAGTCAGTTCTTCGGTAGAGAAATCCGCCGCATCCGAGGATCTAAGGATCGCTTCTAACATCTGCGGTGACATACTCAATGCCGCGGATTGCGTGGCCACGCTGTGATGATCAGGAAAAGACATAGAATCAAAGTCATGACCAGCTTGAGGGGCAGCGACTCTCCGATAGCCCTCTGTGGCCCAGTCTCTTTTGTACCACATGGTGACATTGAGCTGCTCACCGTCTTGGTCCGGGTTGGGAGCATAGAACTCCTTCCACTCTCTATACGTGTGCGGTGGAGGTGGAGCATCATGTTCTTCATGTGGAGTCCATGATCCCGGGTGAAAGATCTTGACCCACTGGGCATCTGGTTGTTGAGGATCCGGACACCATTCCAGCCACGGCATGACAACGTAAACCCGGAAAGACAAATTGATAGGTGTACGGCTGCAGACAACAATTACTGCAAGAGACACAACAACAACCACGCAAGCAATCACTTTTGCAGCAATGCACGGCTCAGGTGTTGAAGTCCATCTCCTGAATCGAATTGAATTGAATAGACTCCCCAGGAAGACGAGGACGAGCATCAGCCACCATCTGAGTTTGAAGATGCCGACGAAGAGGTCAGTCCAGCGCACATGAGGTCCGGTGAGCCCGAAGCGAAAACTGGACGCGCAATGCTAGGGTGTGGACGACCCAGCCGTTGATATCCTCTGGTGGCCCAGTCCCGATAATGCCAAGTATAGAAGGATGCATAAGAGACCGGCTGAGAAACAGCACCCATATTGGTGCCGCCCGTGCTCTCCCTCGGCCAATACACTTCGAAGTGGTATACTTTGCGCCACTCCCGATAGGTGGTTGAGTCCTCCGGGGCAGGCCCCAAGGTGTTTTCGGCGACTGGATGCCACGGACCCGGTACATAGATCCGAATCCACTCAACGCTTGTGTTCGCGGGGCCATTGACGATGTCGTAGTCAAAGTAGTGTGGCAGGGCCCATCTTGCAGCGCCATACATTGTAGAATTGAACATATCAACCAGGCAAGCCGCTCGAAGTCATAAAGGAAAGCGGCGAACACATGGAGACGGAACGCACAACACCAAGCAAGACAACCCAACATGGAATCGCATACAAAGCAAGCACAACCGCGTCATTTTATCCGACATGTTGCTCAAGTATCACTCCGAATCGTTCCAAGGATCATAGAATGGTGGTGGTGACGGCTCTCGCCACGCCCCCCGGAACCGATGAGCCCACCGAGGAATTGGCGTCTGCATTCACGAGCATCGCGAGTCCAATGGCTGGTAAAGGAGCTCCAAGTCGTTGATACCCTCGTGTTTGCCAGTCTCGGTACTCCCACACGTGGTAGGACACATACGAACTGGGCGTGACAATGGGATCCGTTGTTGTTCCTCCGGTGCTGTCTTCGGACCAGTACACTTGGAAGCGATATGACCTGCGCCACTCCCGATACGTGGAAGCGTAGACCGGGTCGAGCACTGGAGCATCATCGGGAACGGGTCGCCACGTGCCCGGTGAGTAAATTCGAATCCATTCCACTCCTCTGTCGATCTGGTACTCGAAATATTGAGGGTTCATAGCGGCAAGACAGGCTCTCGCGCGGCCGCTAAAAGCAATCGAAAATCTGCGGCGAAGACACACATGCAATGACAACCGCGCGCAGCTGAAGGGATGCAAGGCAACTTTTCAAACTCAAGGTGAGACACAGCAGCGAGGTTTGTAATATACGACGCCTAAGCTTCACCGCCGTTGATGCCGCGCACACCTGCAATGATAATGTCCTGGTCGTCTACGATCACAAGGGGAAAGACATTTCCGCCCATGGCGCAGGAAGGCTTGACAGTAATGCTTGCAATTTGCCGATGGGGACGGCGATGGACGGCCAGCACGTTTGGAGGGGAACACGGTAAAGGGCCGCCGAGATCTCCGCGGTGCCGAAGCGGATGCTGTCCGAGATCGTTTGGATGAACGCCCTGGACTGCGTAGCTCTTCATCACGGGAATGGTCAGTGCTGTAGATCGAGCGGCGTGTGCGCTGCGATTTCGATGTGGCAGGGCAGGATTGTCCGCGAGGAGCTGAGATCGAGGGGCTCCGTACTGAGGGCATAAACTGTGGGTGTAGAATCACCGGTGGTGGTGGCGGTGGAGGAGGCGGAGGTGGAAGAAGCAGTGGGGAACTTGGTGGGGCGGAGGTGACGTAGTCTGCCGAATGGGTCTGTCAAGCAGGGCTCCAGGTCCGTGAAATTGTAACCACGTCGGCTGCGCTCCATGGGTCCAAGTAATGTACGTCTGTACGACTTGTTCCGACATGATTTGAGCAACTCAGTCATGCATTCAATTCACGTCAGCAGCAACACCCACAGCGGCAAGCAATATTACCCTGGTAAAATGCCAGTCAAGTGCAAGCAAGCAAATGCATGTGATCAATAATGACTACAATCCCAACCGTCGCAACAACCTGCAACGCTAGCCGAATACGCCGCCACGGCCTACCATTTAGTCCTCCGGTGGTCGCTGTTGCATTTGATGACCGGGTTCCTAGCCGCGAGCCTCAAGTTGCTGATAGACCTTCCATGCCTGCTTGACTTCCTCAATGGGCTTCTGAAGGAACCGAGCAATGGTTTTGTAGGTGGGCCTGGAATCCTTGTCTTTCTTCCGTCGCACCATCTCATCCAGCTCACCCTGTGTCCATGCCGTGAAAGGTTCACGGTGTGCATTGCGAAGTGCAATGGTGAATTCTTGTAGAAGTTCCCGAGGTCCATGAACCACCGTAGGAGACGGTCGGAACGACGAGGCACCTGGATGTGGACGCACTGAGCCATCAGAATCCGAGTCAGGTGTCGTAGGCGTCATCTGTCCTGGTTCTGGTCCGCCGTGTGGGGCTAAGGGAGCAAGCGGCCGAGGTGGTGGCAGGTGATCCAACATCGATTCAGGCCGACGACCAGAATTGTTGTCAGCGGCATCCCGATGTGCCGCACGAGGCGGGGATAAGGCCGGTATATACCAGGTGGATGAAGTGTCCAAAGGTCGGGTTCGAAT